AATTTTGATCGAGAAGCCTTGCGGCAAGAGAAAACATAATGCGATGTTTATGATTTTTGGAAAAACACATGAAACAATTTTTTTATGGTGTAGTATTGCGATTATGACGTGACCGTTCACTGCGAATTTTCATTCACAAAGGGTTTAAAAAAAGAGGCAACTTAGGCACATTGAGCCTCATACGTAACATGTAGCTGAAATAATATTCACACAAATTAATTTATTTCACTACTTAAATGAGCATTTTGCAGAGCAAGCTCAGAGAAAAAAAAAACACAAAGCACTCAACGAAAATGATAAATGAAGATAAATCCGCTTCCTGACAAATCTCTGATTGGAATGAACGTCAGAGAGTAGTCTTGCAACAATTAAAATGCGTGCTTCTCCGTCTGTAGAGTTCTTCATATTGATTTTTCAAAAAGTAGTTATATAATAAGTGAATTTCTCACCAATGTTGCTAAGCTTGGAAGACGGCAGTTGGAGCCCCTTCGTCTGCCGACCTCCATCGGCGGGCTAGCTTCTGGAGATTCGCCTTTTCCTTCCATATCTCGGCCAATATTTGCGGAACTCTCCGGTGTAAGCAACATCATAGGGCTTTCCATTTTCCAAATCGAAGCTATCTTTTTGTTGGTTCTCTCGCACCTTTCCATAACAAAACTAATTTTGCAGATGATTATTCGGAATCAAGTTTCGATATTTTCCCATTAAAACTAAGAACACACCAGTGAAGGCGAGCGGACGAATTTCGTTCTGACCAATTTCGACTTCGTGTGGTCGTTAATTTTCAAAGTACAAATACTGCGACAGTAGGACAATAGAGCAATGCAAATTTTGCGGGTCCGTTGTTAGAAAATCGTGTCAGTCCGCCCTTACCTTGAATTAATGACTAGTCAAAAGAAATCAATTCAAATAGATTCATACAACTCGCTTAAAAGCTAACCTTAAATTGAAAAAACGTGGATTTTCATCGATTTAAGCACCATTCCTATTTCTTGCGTATGATGTGCCGACAGATGCCTTTCACAACTCCAAAGTGAGAGCGAAATATAAGATCATCAAAATTTATACTAAGCCCAGAGTTTCGATTATAACTTCTATGATTTAACTGCCTGAACTAAGCTATGAAAAAAAAAACAAGACGAGACATTATCATAAAGTTAATGACATTCAGTTAAACCAAACAGGTGCATGCTGACAATGAATCTATATATGAACAACACAACCGAAACATTTGATAGGCTCACTAAACGTAATTAGATTTCCAAACTGCAAACCCGGATTCGGTATTTGCGGTGTAAGAGCTGAACATACGTGTGCGGAAGTTTTGTTGTATTTTATTTATTTACACCTTACGCATAGTAAATATATTTCTATGTCGCTTTATAAACATGAAGCCCAAAACGTTGCAAATTTATCGGCAGGGAAGGCTGATATCCAATTAATTAGAAGGAAGGAAATTTCAGCACAAGTTATCAAAAAAGGGAAAAAACAGAAAAAAAAAGAGTAAACAAAACAAATGAAATAAATTGAAGGTTATATTTGATGTCAGGTTTAAATGTTTGCACCAGTTACAAGGTAAATTAAAGGGCTTTCTGTGATTAAGTCTGCCAACATACGAGGGGCTAAATGGAATAATTTATTTTGTTGTTTTAAGGGCTGGAAATCATCTATCTTCTATTACTGGAAATCTTCCTTAAATTCTTATAGCAGCAGTAGTTATAAAAGAATCCGTCTTTTAAAAGGGCAATTCAGTCTTCAGCTTATGCATCGTTGCCTTAGTTCTTCAGAGTTTATCCCCAAATAAGCCATCATTCTGGCATCTTTTTCCTTTTTATTCCCATTTGAAGGAGAACCTAACTGACTAACAATCCTGATTGTCAAACGTACGTCTGCTTTTCGCGTAGCAAGACAATCAAAGTTCGAGAGATCCTTTAATGACTTAAATTACTGCCTAAGTGTGCGAGTGGTTATTATTATGTGGTTACTGTAAGTAGATAAATTCCTTCCACAATTTGACTTCTTACGTTATTAAGACACTTGAATTTCACTTCAGAAACACTGACTATTAAAATCAGATAGACAGCTAACTGTTCATAGACTACAGAGAATGTCGTTCAAATTCTCCCCCAACGCTAAGGCCTCGCCTTGCACTGAGCGACCAAAACTTTATTCCTTCTTCGTTTTTTTATCATTTTTTTTGGCCGTCGACTCACAATGAACGAATTCCCAGCCCTCTCTTCATTTCAGAAGATATTTCAAGTCAGAAGTCGACTATATCATAATATATGAAGGGTAAGTTTCAAGAGAAACTGTGGAGCTACATCTCTGGGAGAGTATGACAAAGTAATTTGGTATTATCAACTGAGGTGATAATGTGAATTGGCCACTGTTAAGAGTTTCAAAGCTGACGTTACGAGCGTTGGCCCCTTGTCTGACGAAGAGCTAACGCTCGAAAAGTCAGCTTAAGAAAGTCGTTATGGTGGCCAATACACATTATCAACTCATTTCATAATACCAGACACCTTTATTATGTAATAAATATAGAGAATAATGCATGGGCGGGCGTCGATATGGAATCTCTCTTCGAGTGTTCAACTCGATAGCTCACGAGTGAGCGCAGCGAGCGAGTGCAATGTCGAGTCGAAATGAGAAGAGAAATTCCATGTCTACAAGCAACCATGTATTATTTTGTTTATTACATAAACGCATAGCCCTTTAATGATAAGAAAAGTCGACTTTATTTACGAATGAAAGTAAAAGGATCGACAGTCCCCGAATAAAAACCGTGTTGGCGCTAGGGCTCAAGATGAAAAACGCCTTGAATCATTACGAAAACAACAATGGGCGTAATTTTCAATGTTCAAATTCTCAGTTATCGACTTTTTCCTTACCGACATGAAGAATCTTTCGGGTACACACCCAAAATTGAGTTGGGGCAAATCTTCCAGTTGTCGATTTTCATTCTCAGCGGCGAGAAATACCATTCCCAAAACCACTGAAAACGTAACTTTCGGTTTTTCTTATGTATTTTGGTTTTCTTCGCCTTCTAGGAAAGTTTGAATGTCACTGTTTGTAAGAGATACGGATTTTTCAGTGTTTTAGCAGCCGTAATCCGAGAAAATTCCGACAACAACGGTGAAGGCTTCGCCGTTCATTTATCGACCTGACCGAGTGGCACGAGAGGCGATTGACGTGTTGGAAGGTGACTAACGGTGGCTATATCAAACACGTGAAAAATAACGTATTTTTCACGTGTTACGGCTTTTCTCAGGGCTGAAAATCTTTGTATAACACATTAGTCTATATGATAATATCATATCCTCTAGATGTATTCACCCACGTCAAGAGATAATATCTTGCCTTGGCCTGAAAGCGGAGTCTTGATGCTTTTTCACCCCTTACATCCATTCAAAGAAGTTTCAAAAGTTCTTACCTGGATGTATGAGCAACTAAACACTACAGTTTGTGAACAAGTTCGCTTATTTAGATAATGTCATCAACCTTCGCAGGCCGGTGGGACAGAAGCAGCCACTTCATTAGGTAAATCAAGGACTGCTTTTGTCCACATTAGATCAACATGGATATCCAGCCCCTACTACCACAACCACAAACTTCGGCTCTTCAGAGTACTGCTAATAAAAGTAATACAGTATCGGTACTGGATCAGAGTGCCGGCTTGCTATGTTCCACGCCACTTGTTTGAATTCTTTGACCCCTTAGACCGACTAATTTTCCCTCGCAATATCATCTCCGAATCATACAAAGGTCTCGAGAAAAAATGAACTGATCACCAACAAAGGAAAAAGGAGCTCTCGATTGTCTTCGTCAGGACTTGAGGAAGACAAGGAAATGTATAGAGAACAACATGGTGAAAATGCATGTTGATGTTCCGGTGTAAAGGGTTAAAAGAATCATGCCAGTCTTCTGGCTAAATAAAATCTCCACTGTCAGACTGTCTTCAAGCCACAGGGCAAAAAACTATGAGAACCATCTTACAAGACGAAGGTGGAAATGGCTTGGCCATCTGCTAAAAATGAGCATACGCAAGAACCGTACTGACATGCACTAAGGATGAACGAGAGACGCAAAGAACATGGAGAACACCATTAGAAGAGATAAAGAATGTTAGTATCGTCTTCGTCCCAAAACAGGGCGATTTGGAGGGACTTCGTTGAGGCCCTGTAAGCCCCTGAACACATAGACGTTGAGTGAGTGACTTGGATGTGACTTCAAAAACTTTCTGTTTCTCTGCTTTGAATGTCTCTTTCTTTTTTTCCTAAAATGTATTTATGCAAACCTCACTTAAAGGAATCTGTAAGACTCATCAATAATTCTTAACTTTCATAGGTGCATAAAAAGTTCAAATCTTCCCCTTTGGCAAATTTTGATGAGCGTGCTGACGACCGAATGACGACTTCTCATGCTTTAGAAAAAGGTTACGCATTCTGAGCCGTTCTGCACTACTAGAAATGGTCTCCCAAACCCTTTAAACACACAAGAGTTAAGAGGCCATCCCTATATAACTTTTTTCCCCATCACTTAGCAGACCCATTTTTCAAAGAAAAGGAAGAGGAAATAACCACTCCAGTTACACTGTCCAATCGACAAGATACCAATATTCAACAAAATTCACAATCTTTAAAACGAGATGAACAAAGCTTCATTTAAGATAGAAATTGTTTCTTTCCAATCTTCTGGCCTGTATGCCATATTAGTCTGGAAAACAGTGAAGAAAGTAAACACGCACATCCAGGCTCCTTCCATGCATCAATTATTTCTTATCCATCATTTATTTCTTTTTAATATCTCTATTTTGAGTTCTTTCACTTTAATTCTTTTTCCCAACTCGGCCACTAGAGCTCATTCCCTCCAACACATCCTCTGTCCCTCCTCATCCCCCCCCCCCCCCCCGTCTCAGATCTCGGATGAGTGGACATGCCTGTGCAGTGCGAGTTACAGGTTAAGTACACAGCAGGCAGGAAGCAGAAGTAAACACTATCTTCTAAACAAAGATCACATTTTAATTTCAACCACAAAGTCAATTCAGTCCAAAATACAAAGCAAAATTAGTCTCCAAGAAAACATCCTCAGGAGTCTCCCAATCTTACATCCAGCTCCTTTATTTAGAAACAAAGGCTGAAGAAGCCTTGTATTTTGTTGTCAAACTTCAGTGGTGACCACCTAATGAAAAGAATATATATATTTTTAAATCTCTCTCTTAGACAGTGTAAAAATTGGCTATGTAACATGACTTGGCTGATTTACTTGCAAATACTAAAAGGACATAAAAATGGAGAAGTTTTCTTCTCCTAATTTGTCCTCTTGTCATTTAATTTACAGAGAAAGAAGAATTTCCTCATCAATTAGTTTTGCTGAAAGTATAAAATGAATAGAGCATGGGCCTCTATGGGTGACCTTTATCAACATACACACAAGTGACTTAGTATTTAAGATCTCACTTTATCTCCTTCATCTCTGGAAATCTTTCAATACCCAATAGACAGGGTGGCTGATATTTTGATTTTTGGGACCAAGATCTTAGTTATACAACTCAAAATTATCTCCAATAAACACTTTCTCTTAATCACCAGGATGAAACTACTGATAAATATCACAGGGAGGTTAACTAAAGGAGGCAAGCTGAAATTTAATACTAATACAAATAGCAGCTGAATGGAAATATTATCTGGTTGACTTTCTTTTCACATGAACAGAGGGCAAAATACTGTTAGTAGTATGCCGGCATAAATTACCAGGCTGTATGGAAGCAGAGAACATAGGTACATGCAATTGAACTTGTCACAATGAGCATGATCCTAATGATTAAACAACGATGTGTGCATTTGGGTTATAGTCAGTTTTTTATACCATATTTTGAATGTGTAACTGCTCATTTTACGTTGAAGCAATAAAATGGACTTCTTAACCCAAACTTATCATTACACCCCCCTGACCTACCAGCCCAGTTACCAAAGCCTCCTTTAAAACTTTTAGGCACTTCACTATTAAATAACCAAAATTTGCTCTGAAACAGCTTTCATTGAAAAGATTCAAATCTTTCATAGAATATCATTCATAACACCAGTACTGAAAGAAAAAAATGTTTTCTATGCTTACCTCCTTTTTTACCAGTTTCCTCTGGAAAAAAAGAGAAGAGATATCAAATAGTTATTTAAACTACCATAATCATAGCATAGCTCAGAGCTCTTTAAAAGAGCCAGTTAACAGGCCAAATCACCATCACTTTCCTGCCATCCTTAGCCCTCTATTTTTACCTCATTAAACCATATGTGCTAATGAAAAACTGTACAATTATTGAAGAGCCATCAAAAAATATTTGGAAAGCAGCCATTGTCCATTTATGGATTAGAAATGAATGCAAAATTTGTCAGTAACAGGTATAGATATGCTTTTGGATTTCACATTCAGAATGCACCCATAGACTCACATGACCTTCATGGAATTCCTGGCACATTCTAGGTGAACATTTCCCAGGTTTGGTAAAATTTTTCTAATAGAACAACATGGCTTCCACTATAACCTGGCCACCTCTATTTCTCACCTGTCTCCTACTTTCAAACTGTTTGACAGCACTATCATTGTTTTGTTTTGTTTTGTTTTTTAACTAGCAACACAACGTTTGTAACTTAAAATAAGACTAAACTGCAGAAAATTTTTCACTTCTAGACTTATAACAACTACCCCTGGTTTTGTGCTTCACCAAACTTTGACTAGCTATCCACAGCGCAATACTAGGATTTGCTTTCCAGCAGACTATACGGGAGAAGAACCTTGCTCCAATTAATTTCTTTTTTCATTCCAGCGCAATACTATGATTTGCTTTCCAGCAGACTATACGGGAGAAGAACCTTGCTCCAATTAATATCATTCCCGCGTTTCTTGTAGTGTTTTTCCCGAAGAGTCTGCTGCGAAACAAATCGGAACCAAAAGAATATAATTTTGGGAAAAGCGAAAATTCTTCCTCTAACATTCATGTGATGGCAACACATAAGATCTGTTCACACAGTCCTATATTTTCGACGAGTTTGCCTACCCGTCTAGGCAGCCTTCAAACCGGTACAAGATCTAATCAATGCCTTGTCAAATATTCAAAGATCAAAATACACCCTTCAATAAGATATAAACTTACTTTTTTGTGAAGCAGAAACAATCTTTCCAACTCCGTAGCCAGTGACCAGAAAACCGGCAATCAGGAATCGCAAATCGTAAACCACTCGGTAAATTATATGGCTGTTTTGTTGAAAGTGATTCCTCATCCTTAGCAGTACACCCATCTTGGAGTGCTGTGGGATTTCGAAGATAAAGCAAAGTTGAAATGATGTATACTGTAAACGATGGCAAAATAAGACGAGATTAAGCTAAACTTACAACGAAAATACCGTGGTTCTATGTTGCGAAGATGGCGGCGAATACAGTTAACTGTGCATGAACTTCACAGGCTCACGCTGACCGCACGAAGGCTCGTGAACCATGTCCAAAATGGCGTCTCCAATGGAAGGTTGGGGCTTGTTGAAGCAAGGCGCAGAGGCACGTGTCTACAGAACGAAGTTTTACACCAAGAAGACTATAGTGAAGGAAAGGTTTTCAAAATGTTACAGGCACCCCTCTCTAGACGAAAAGCTCACCCATCGAAGGACTACGCAAGAAGTACGATCAATGCTTCGTTGCAGGAAAGCAGGAATCTGCACTCCAGCCGTTTATTATGTTGATTACACTACTCATTGTATCTACATGGAAGAAATCGAAAATTGCGTGACAGCCAGAGATCACATCAACGAGCTTCTGGATGGCCCTTCTGATGCATCTGAGCAAAGTTTACAAAGTCTTGCGGAAAAAATTGGTTCTACATTGGCGGTAATGCACAACGTGGACTGTATTCATGGAGATTTGACCACTTCAAACGTCTTGATAAAGTCAGGGTTTGAAAATATCATTCTGATTGACTTCGGACTGAGCTTTATATCATCACTGACAGAAGACAAAGGCGTTGATCTTTACGTTTTGGAGAGGGCTTTCCTCAGCACTCATCCAAACACTGAGCAGCTGTTCAAGATTGTTTTGGAAAGTTACAAGGGGAAAGCAAACAAGGCTGGAGAGATAATAAAGAAACTGGATGAAGTGAGGTTGCGTGGACGAAAGAGGACAATGGTGGGGTGAACTATGCTTCTATAGTTTCAGGCTTATTACCAAAGTTCGGAAAAAATACAAAACTTTGGTCAAAGTACATCTCATTACTATATGGCTCTTTTTGTTGGAACTGAAAGTGACACCAGTATGAAAACTGTAGGATTCTTAGTGTAACCCTTTCACCACCAGAAGTGACCAAATGAATAATAAACGCCATCACAAGCCAGTGTCAAAGACATAAATCTTGTCTGCTGTGACTCAAGTTCATTTCATTAGTTTTCCCCTTTTTTACATTTATTTAACTGTGCTTCCTTCATACATCACATCCAAAGTTTTCACAAAATCACCTTCAAAGCTTTCTCTTGTGAGGTAAAATATTCTACCAAAGGTCTCTTCAATGAGATCACTAACAGTAATTATTAATTTAGTCCTTTTTTAATCTAAATTAAAATCACAGTCTTGAATGCATTCCACCAGCAATAACTAAAGTTTCTCCAGTGATATACGATGCTTGATCAGAGGATAGAAAAGATACTGCACCTCCTATATCCTCTGACTCACCAAGCCTGAAAGCAACAAACAGATACAACATATCTCACTTACAGAACTGGGACAATTTTTCAAATTGTTGTTTACAACATTATAATCATTCTGTATACATCCTTTCACTTAAGAGTGATCAATAAGTGATTTCTCCAGCACTGATATCACCACAATATCAAACAGAAAGGTGATGAGAAGATAGAGTATTATCAACATGTGGATATTGTTTACCAAATTATCAGAGCTACAATTATAATAAATGTAAAGACAGAAGAGAGAATGAACCCTTTGACCCCTGAGAGTGATTAGTATCTAATTTCTCCTTACAATATCACCACTGAATTGCTCATGATGGTCATGAGAATAAAGGACATGATCAGTAACTAAAGAAGCTCTTGATTGTTAGACAAATTCTCCTTGACAGTGCCTTGGGAAATGCATAGGGAACAGTATGGAGAAGGTGCATACTGATGTTAGAGTGTAAAGGGTTAATAAAGAGATCCTGGGAGAAAAAGATTGAGTAATTCTTTCCAGTAAATCACAACTCCTACCTCCTCAAGGGAATTTGAGCAAGTGCGGCTTCAGTTAAGGACTCACTTTGCCAAAGCTACAAAAAATAACACCCCAATGTCTATTTTTATTTACCTTATACAAGTCAAGTTTTAAACCACCTAGGAAGGAAGTCAGATCATAGTGATCATGCATTTATTTATTTCTTTGTTCATTTTTTTATCCAGCCCCTCTCGTTTTCTTTTTCTTTTGTCTCAATCCCACTTACCAGTACAAACATTATCATTTCCAGCTTTTCTGCTACATTTCAGAAAACAATCCTCTTCTGGCTCATAGATGTCACATCGTCTGGATGAATTTCATTTTTATTTTTGTCTCATGGTTATTTGCAATAAAAGGGCAAATGTAACTAAAGTAGATTGCTCTGACATTTGAATACTTACTGCTCCACTAAACTTTGTCTTGATGATCCCAGGTGCAACACAATTCACCCTCACTCCCATGTGAGCACATTCATTGGCTAGAACCTTGGTCAAACCAAGCAGAGCTGTCTTGCTAACACTATAAGCACCAAGACCCTGAAACCAATATGGCAATAACATACTGAATAATCAAACATGCTTTTCAGCCATAAATAATTATCCATTTTTCCATCTTGAGGTTGACTAAAGTAATTTTAAAGTAACTTTTTAAAGTAACTTTTTAAAAGTTATTTTAAAAGTAATTTTTTGGGGGTTTGATTTAAGTATGACTACTAGTAAGTCACACTTTTCACACTGTGATAAGAATACATGAAAGTCATATATTTGTACTGCGGAAAATACATTTTAAGCAAATGAAGATCATCACAGTATATACTCAACTTAAGCAGTTGAGAAATAAGGCCTGAAAAAAATTCAGGCCTGAACGGGAATCGAACCCATGACCTCTGCGATACCGGTGCAGCGCTCTAACCAACTGAGCCATCAAGCCAACTGGGAGCTGGTCAATTGTGAGTTCGTTATATACCCGTGGATGGAGAAGGTGTGATAAGAATACATGAAAGTCATATATTTGTACTGCGGAAAATACATTTTAAGCAAATGAAGATCATCACAGTATATACTCAACTTAAGCAGTTGAGAAATAAGGCCTGAAAAAAATTCAGGCCTGAACGGGACTCGAACCCATGACCTCTGCGATACCGGTGCAAACCATCAAGCCAACTGGGAGCTGGTCAATTGTGAGTTCGTTATATACCCGTGGATGGTACTGCACCGGTATCGCAGAGGTCATGGGTTCGATTCCCGTTCAGGCCTGAATTTTTTTCAGGTCTTATTTCTCAACTGCTTAAGTTTGCTTAAAACTTTTCACACTATTTGAAAAACAAAGTATTTCAAAGCCGCTCAAAACTAAAACTGAAGATTGGGTCTCAAATTCATGTATGTTTGAATCAATTAAAATAAACTTATAAGAATGGCATACTTTTCACACCAAGTTTTGTCTTGTAGGGCAATTAAGTTTGAAAAGGGTTATATCTACCTGCAGGGATGGCTGGAGTCCAGCAATGGATGAAACAAACACTATAGATCCACCTCTGAAATAAACAAGCAACAAAATTTGGTCTTTAGATAAACCGCATCTCAAATTATCTTCATTATTGATAACTGGAACAAGTCAGTTAAGATTAACCCTTAACAACCCTAACATTCATATTCTCCATAGTGTTCTCTGTATATTTACTAAGGTTCTGACAAGGAGAATTTGTCTAACAATCAAGAGTTCTTTCATTGGTGATCTTTTCCTTTATTCTCATGACGTTAATCTGTGATTCAGTGGTGATATTGTAAGGGGAAATTAGATGCTAGTCACTCTTAGAGGTTAAAGGGTTAACTAAACTATGGTACCACCAATACCAATATCTCAAATTGGGACTCAGTATACAAACCCTCTCTTTTTCATCAATGGAACAACATCTTTTGCCAGAAGAAAAGCTGACTTCACATTGATATCAAAAATCTGTATTAACAAAAGACCAAAAAAAACAAAATGAACAGAAAGACCAGGAAATTTATACTTTGTCAGTTTTCACAATTTAAGATGACTTTAAAGTCTGTTACACTTTTAATTAAGCAGTGCTCTAAAATTGACCTTCGTTGGTTAATTATCATAATACAGTAAAAGGTTAGGCTCCAACAAAGGAACGTCGCAGTGTGCAGGGGAGCCAATTGAAAATGAAATTGTTGTGGACTTGAGAGGTTCCACATATATTCTTCCCCAGATAATTGTAAAAATTTTCAAACCATGTGGGTCATTTGAGATTACTTCTCAAAGAAAATTTTGATGTCACTTTCAAGCAATCATAGAGCCACCTTCTTTGAATTACTTTGTTATATTTACTACTTACAACCACACATATTTAGGTAGCGGTGCATTTGTCTTCTCTTTCCCTTGCTCCTCTGCCCCCCCCCCCCAATTCCTACCTGCAGGCAAGAGCTGATTTAAACACATCACTAACAAACTAATGCAAATTGTATGCCCAAAAAATATGTCAATATGTAATCTTCCTTTTCTACCTTTTCCCATGATTCCTCTGGTGTCTGAAATAAAATATATCATATGTATAGATGACCATGATAACATGACCAATTTTTATTATTCTATAACATATAGTTTTTCCTTGAAGCCTGCTGTTCCTCTCATTTTAGAGCACAATAGGATTGGGTTTTATAAAATCAAAAGAAATCACTTATAATGGCCATGCAACCACAAAAAAGGTTAAAATCACAAAAACCTTGTGAGAATGTGATCCAAGAAAATTAAAGCAAAAAACACATGGATCATATGAAAATGTGATTGATCTTTTAGGTCACAATTGATTTCAGTTTTTAGTCTGACTGGTTGAGATAGTATTACTAGTTTTCTGATACAATCACAGATCAAGATAAGGCAAAACCAAAGGATTCCTGTCCCTGATAGTACTTTCCATATTGATAGAAAAGTGTTCTATTACAAAATGAATATAACCATGAAACAAGTACAATTGTTTTTCAAGCACAAAAATGAAACTGGTAGCAGTATAGCTTCAAACCTTTTAATCTTAGCCCTTTTTCCATCTTGGCATTACTATCATCATCATGACTGTGGTTTTCACAGAAATCAAAATGTTCCCATCACCATTATTCCCATTGTCATCATCATCATTATCATCATAACAATCCTTTTCATGCTCACATTAGAATGATGGTTAAGTCAAGTATTACCTCCAGGATTGGTCCAAATGTGGGGTTAGCAGCAGCATTTGAAACCAAGATGTCAATGCCTCCAAAAGTATCCAATGTCTGTAGAGGGAAATGTTTGTTGCAAACATAGTAATATCATTATCAAATATTATTCATTATAAATACTATGTTTTCTCCGCATACATTATCATAAGTTAGCACTTTGAATAGTACCTCTTTGATAAGATTCCTACGATGTTCAGTTTTCCCAACATGGCACACAACTCCCTTCACTGTACAACCTTGTTCTTTCTCCAATTTAGAGACAGCATCAATAACTTTGTCTTGTTTGCGACTACTGATCATAACCTTTGCACCATCATGAGCAAGTTGTTTAGCAATGGCAAACCCAATCCTAAGAAAATACTTGGTAATTATTCACATTACTAAGCAAAAATCAAACTACAAGTGACTTGTGCTGATTTGTAATGAAAATATGTAATTCACTATTTAAAAACGTTCAGCAATTAATGTTTTTGTTTAACATCTCTTTATAGGAATATTTTTGACTTGTGACCTTCCCTGACATCAAGAGTAATATTCAAGACTCTGGTAGAAAGTATTAAAATTTCAGTGGACGGATCTCCAAAAGAAGAAAAAGTAGTTACTTCAGAAACATCAAGATCTGATATAGATCTCCTATTTGGTAAAGGAAACACTTTTGTATTTGGGAACATGATGTTAAAAAGAGTGGACTAACAATCCAAGCCTACTACTTGATGTGTCAAAAGTTTGAGCAGAGATCAGTGTTAATAATGAGTATAACTTTACATTATGGACCCTCTCTGCACCAGCACCAGCACCCAACCCACCTCCCTCCCCTCGCCGCCTACTAAGAGCTCTAAAATAGAGTGAATCCAAGCTAGCTGGGAACAACTCTTTCTGTGCTATACTGTTTTCTACCTAGACCAGGAAAAGTCGGATAACATCGAATCGTCATGCTTAACTCAAACACACAAGAACTAAAGTTGACTCGAAGTCATTTGTAAATTACGTTGAAACTGCCTTCAGACCATTTCGCTCCCATTCATGTAGCATGAACACTTGTATCAACCAACCCCTCTGTTGATGCCGTTACAACAGCGACTTTTCCTTCTAAGCTGCGACTCGAGGCTGCAGTTGTGCTCATTCTCAGAGACCTCAAGGTTCCAGAAAATCTACTTACAGAGACCCGCCGTGACATTCCAAGACGATATGCAGTACGCTATTGTACCAATTTTGTTTGAGGAAAGTTCACCTACCCCTACTCTGAAGGGAATTAAAATCGAACTACCGGAAATTTCCGACTGTTTTCCACCAATCAAGTCGCACCTTTGCACAAGACGTTGAGTCGAAGGTAGGCGGACGAAAGTCGTAGCTACGGAAATGACTTACTTTTACCCGACTATACTCCAAAAAAACAAACATCCATTCGGTGATCTTATTTCGCAGGCTCGTGACTACAGTACTTCGAACTCTTTTTCGATCTTTGAGTGAAAAACTTCAGGTAAGGCGTAAATATGTGTTCCCTATTCTTATAATTTTGCTGATCTTTACCTATTCTAAAGATTTGAAGAAGCGCTGCAGCTCAGAACTCAATTTCTCACAGCCAAATGTGTTGAAATCTGCTCAAGATGTTGTCTAAAGAGGATTTAAATGATTTGCTTTGTGTAAACATTGCTGTACCTTCGTGTTCGTTTGCATTGGCCACGATGCACTCAATTAAAGAAAAAGGCGCTGCAAAGCCCGTACATGATATTCTGATAGCCTGTTCTTGTTTGCGTGACTTTCTCTGATAATAAGATGCCAGGCACTGTTACGTAAGACAAATTTACAGCCTTTGAGAATGAATCATCTACTCGAAAATTAGCAAATGATGTGACTGTTAGAGTGATAATATCGAAGTCTTCTACTTTTACCCTCCGCATGCTCGTTATACATTGAATAAACTACATTTAACTGAAGTGAATTTTTTTAACACTGCGTTGCACCTTGTTGGCCATGTTCAGATTCTTTAAGCTATGTGATCTTTTGTTCAGTAGTGCTTTGACTACTTGGATGAAGAGTACATGGAACAACTTGAGGTCTCATGATGTATATCCCCTATAGGTTGACATCTTTCAAGGGACTGCCCACAGCCAGCCTAATCTATTGGTGATTCTGTGCGATGTTGCTTCATGATCATGAATAAAATGAAATAATTCGATGAAATGTGAGGCCAAGGATGATTTTTTGAGACATGAAATCAAAATTTAAGTATTCATTTTGGCAAGGCCCAGTAGGTGTAAGGTTTGCAACTGTCTGGTTGAGGTGGCATAAGATTTCAAGACCAAAGGGAGAGTATATCCCCTATAGGTTGACATCTTTCAAGGGACTGCCCACAGCCAGCCTAATCTATTGGTGATTCTGTGCGATGTTGCTTCATGATCATGAATAAAATGAAATAATTCGATGAAATGTGAGGCCAAGGATGATTTTTTGAGTAGAGTGTTTTTTGTCATGAAATCAAAATTTAAGTATTCATTTTGGCAAGGCCCAGTAGGTGTAAGGTTTGCAACTGTCTGGTTGAGGTGGCATAAGATTTCAAGACCAAAGGGAGAGGAAAGCAGGGCAAAGCAAAACAAAAGTAACCTTGAGTAAATGCTGACACCCTATTGCAAATTTTCCTATCTTTAGTTCAAGACAGGATGGCGTCTGAGCTGCCTTCTTTAACAGGAAAAGTATGCATTGTGACAGGAGCTTCCAGGGGAATTGGCAAAGGTATTGCTTTGATGTTGGCCAAGGCAGGAGCTACTGTTTATATCACAGGCAAGTAACAAAAATAGAATTTTCAGTTAGAAAAGGTATACTCAAGATTGATTCTCTCTTAATTTTACCTCCTCTACAAGTGGAACATAAAAGAGATGAAGGAAGGAGACTGTTTGACAGTTTATACATGGACTGTCAAAGATACTTACTGGTGTCACTTCCCATGACTAGCTTGGATAAATAACTACTGCGGCAAATTTTTGGAGTCTGTTAAACAATTTTGTATTCTGTCTGAAGGAAAGGGTTGGACAGACAATACATTTTAGACACTCATCCTTACTTGAATTTGCAGGCAGGACTCTTGATGCTGCACAAGGCAAGCAAGGGTCATTGAGGGAAACAGCTGAAGAGGTATTTGCAAAAAAGAGACAGTGGCTTGAATTTCATTCCAGTGTAAAGTTCTAGTCACATTGGTTACAGTAGATTGTGAAATCTTGCGTACTTTATTAAGCTGCAAATCACCATTAAGTGAAAGCAGTATGGTGATTGAATGGGCATGCTTAGGAGGAGGAGGTGGGATCTAGAGGTCCAGCTGCAAGCCTTGTTTTTAGCAAGACACTTTACTCTCACAGTATCTTCCAACCAGAGGAAAAGGGCTCCCTTCTGGTATTTGCTTTTATATGTTCTAATATCTTTTCTCACTTAAACAGAAAAAAAAATTGTTATACTTATTCTTTCTAACTTACACTTGGAGATACTAAATTGTGTAATGAAGGCATATATAGGTTAAAAATAGTCATCTTTTTTCTCTAATCATTGTGTGGAGAGCAAATAAAATATGAGCTGCAAGTATAATAATAAATGCACTGAGGAAGGAATGGGGAAGTAGGCCCCTGCAACAAGAAGAAAAGCATCCCTATGCCTGTTAAGTTATTAGGTTGTCATCATCAACATACATGCATAAGAGTGACCAGCATCTAATTTCTCCTTACCATAGTTCTGCTAAATCATTCATTAAAGTCATGAGAACAAAGAGAATTATCATGGACTTTAGTAGCTTTGATTGTTAAATGAATTCTCTTTGTCAGTAACAAAGAAAATTAATTGAGTGGAGTGTGGAGAATATGGAAACTGGTCTTAAGGTGTAAAGGGTTAATACAGTATGAATTTTGTAAATTTACCATAGATTGGTCAGGAGAGTGCTGGTCAATGTATTCCTGTCAAGTGTGACCATGGAAATGATGAGGAAGTAAAAAAATTGTTTGAAAAAGTCAGTCAAGAACAAAATGGGCGATTGGATGTTCTTGTGAACAATGCTTACAAAGGAGTAAAGGTGATGCATATCTGTGATAAATAAGCAAGTGCATAACAGCTGTCATCCACTTTTTAAACAGAATATATCAGTGTCCATACTGAGGTGAAGGATTAGAGAATTTTGTGCATATCACTATTTGAAGAAAGTTTAAGTGTACTGTATTTGTGATAATCTAGATAGATTAATAAAAGACACTATCCATACTTCACCTGTATTCATGAGCATGTGCAATGCATTTTTGGATATAGCAGATTAAAATAGGGAACAGGACCTGTCTCACACCTCCCTTGTTTTGTGGCCTTGCATTACTATTTAAGGCTGGGAGTACTTTTAAAGGAACTGTATTACAATGCACTTATAATTTACTAACTTGCTATCCTTCACCTTTAGGCAATATTGGAGAGTGCTGGGAAACCATTTTATGAACAGGTCAGTCAAAATAATACTTTTCCTGATGAAGACTGTCTTATGAAACAGCTTTTGCAAGTTTGGTTCAGACTCTTAGCTAGTTTGCATTTTATTTAAAGGCATAGTTAAAAAAAACCCTAAAAATATATAGGATGCAGTCTTTAAAAAAAAAATGATTGACTCCATATCTTTGTCCTCTATCTAGTCAGTGGAGATGTGGGATGAGGTCAACAATGTGGGCTTAAGGTAATTATTGATCTTAATTCTTTATGAGAAGTGTTTTTAAGTTATATCTAGCTTGCAGTACTGAGGGCCAATTCACTGATGTTACAAACTTGCAATTGTATATTCTTGGATATGCCTGATTTAGAATTGAAGTGACAGTGGGACAGTGGGAGGTTGTGGGAAAAGGTAGAAAGACATTGTCAGCCCTCTCCTGTCTCCATCCTTGACTGTCACTCACACGCGCTTGGTGCAAATTTTTTCATTCCAGTCTTCTGCTTCTGTAAAAATCAAAGATGGCAGGTATGATTTCACAGAGAAAATACTCAGCACTTATTTGCCAGGTATATTTAGCACTGCAATTGTGTAGCAGTTGCTAATTATCCTTGTTTATTGAATATGATTCCAGTTCAATTCATGAAATAAAACAAACTGAATGACAGACAGTTTGGCATAAAACTGATGACCACTGAGTCATCTGACTGACTGACTATATAGCTGACTCACAGGATGACTGATGGTTGAGAGACTGGATGACTGGCCCACTGGCTGATTTACTGATTGACTGATAGACTGAAAGACTCAGTGACTGTGGGTGTCTGCCAACTTACTGATAAGACCAACTGCTCGACTCACCAACTGAATGACAGACCATAAACTGATGAACTGAGTCACTGACTGAGTTGCCTGATACTTATACTTTTCTGTTGACTTATTTCCCGTTAAAGATCCAGTTATGTGGCTGCATGGCATGCAGCTAAGATGATGGTTCCAGCAAAACAGGGGCTCATTGTCAATGTGTCATCAGCCGGAGGCTTAAGATATCTCTTTAATGTTGCATATGGCGTCGGCAAAGCTGCAGTAAGTACCCCCCCTTCTCTTACCACCTTCCCCCTCCCCTCCCTTCTCTCCCCCCCTCCCCCTCCCCTCCCTTTTCTTACCCCTTCCCCTCCCTTCCCTTGCACAACATATTTGTGCTATTATATCGTACATTGAAAGTTATTTCAATGGTTTCTGCCGGTTTCAGCGACTTTGCTGAGACATTATCCCATAATTGCCGAATTAAGTACCGGCAGCATGATTAACAAACTAAGATGTTCTCAACCGTCTTATCGTAATATTCTCATTTCACCCAGACGGACAGAATGGCTGCAGACATGGCTGTGGAACTACGCAAACAGAACGTGGCGTGTGTCTCTCTGTGGCCAGGAGCTGTGAAAACTGAGATTGTGACGGACTTGATTCTCAGCAAAGCGGATCAAGGAGGAAAGGTACTCTTTAATTATAAATGCTATGTTTAAGAGAGGTTAGGGCAGGAGCAGGAGCGGTAGCAATTTTGAATTGAGTGTCAAAAGTATTCCACGAGTGCATAAGTTTTCGCGCTGTGATTGGTCTGGAAGTCGAGAGCCACCCCCTCTACCAATCAAATGCGACCAGGTCGCCCACGTTTTCCCGCGCCTCGTGCGGTCCTTATCTTTGGTGCATGGTCATTGGCTACTTGTTGTAATCCATGGTTTGCTCGGGCTCAGCATTTATCAGCTATGACGGGATAGGAATCTCGATGTTATAACCAAACTGTTAAACAGCTTGTGAACTGGATGTCATTAACTCTGTGCCGGGTGCGATCTGCAAAGCCAAGCGCCTCGTGGGCTCGTTTTTCGCTGCTTCACTTCTCGTGCCACAAAGCTTGTGACAATCTGCTTGCCGGCTCTGAGTATGTAAGTATTTCTTCCGTCTTACGTTTTTTAGGCAAGTAAAGCCGCCACAATTTTCAAAGACGCTGAAGATGTCACGTTCTCCGGCAAAGCTGTGGCGTGGCTTGCATCAGGTACTCCCATCATTGTCTATATTAGCATTGCGCAACACAGTCTTCACACAGAAGGTCTCCCTTAGCTACGTTGTATTTCGTGGTCTAGTTTTACTATCTCTCTTATTCTATATGCTCACACAAAGTTTTCGACCTCACTGATCCTTGAAGTTTGCCAGACGCGTATCTCATATCAATCTAGAAATGGCCTAGCTAATCACAACGCCCTCTGAAATCCAGTGGTTGAGTATCGGAGCACGGAATTTGAAATTCTTACGTTCGCTTCGTCATGAAGACTCAATAGATTTTTTTTTTCAACGCTCGCGATGACACAAGAAAAGCATCATCCTTTTTTCACTCTTGCATATTATTCTTTAAGAGTTGTTACAAATGGATGTGAGAGCTTTCGACTACATTGTAAAAGCACCCCACATGCCACACGCCTTCTTCGTTTGTTCTGACGTCTGAAATTTGATTACCCCTTTCAGATAGCGATATCATGAAAAAGACTGGTCGGATTCTAATAGTGGCAGAGTTGGCCAAAGAATACGGTTTCAAAGATGTTGGAGGTACGTGGACTCTCAGAATAGGAAAGAAATTTCAAAATAAATACCATGTTGTCGTTTGTCTGTACAGTGACAGATCACAGATATTGTCAAAATGTGGTTAGAACAAAAAAGTGACACATGAGGCTCAGCCGAGTGTTTCACTGATGTTCTTAACCCTTTAGCACCCAAGATCTGATCGTTAATTCTCCCCTCTAGCTGCTACACAATTCTTTGTAAATCAGCCACGAGACTTTGGTGTAAGATCAAGATGACAACTTCTACCTGATAATTTTGAGTATTCTCATTAACCCTTTGCTGAAAAAAATATGGATATTATAGGGAGAAGTTACATGTCAGTCACTTCTGGGAGTCAAAGGGTTAAGACATTTGATGTCTTTAGTGATCTATTACTGTACAAGCATAAGGCAACATAGAATCTAAGATGCTGATAATTTTGACGCTTTCGATGTACCTGTCCTCTAATAGATCATATGTAAGAACCAATCAAAAAATTCGTGTATAATTTAGCTTATCATATAACATGATGTAGTTACATGTTTCCTCTTGGATGAGATGTTGGACCATCGTGGGTTCCCGCCCCCTTCCTCATTATCATTCTCAATTTTGTTATCACCATAATCAGCATCTGCATCATCATCATCATCATCATCATCATCATCATCATCGTCATCATCATCATCATAGCGTAATCATTATTATTATTCTTGTCCCTGAAGGGTATCCAAGGATGAAAGATACATGACTTTGTTTCGAAATTGTTCCACTTTCTGTGTACCAGAAATCACAGCTTATGAGAAGCTCAACAACTAACTATGTCATAGTTGAGCAATTCAGTTTGTAGTAGTACAGACAAGAGGAAATCTTGGTTCTTTCTTGTAGGAACTCAACCGTTGTCCATTCGTCAAGTGAAGTTTCATCTGGAGAGGTCCTACCCCTCTGTCGCCTGGATGATGCCTGAGTTTGTCTATGTCCCGGCCTGGTTAGTGGCAGCTGCAACTCACAAACTCTGATCACGTGATTGATCGACTCCCACCGGCTCAACATGTGTTTAATTACAAAAATGAAATCGCTATTTGAAATAGTGGCTGATGAGTAAAGAGATTTTATTTTGGTGATTGGGGGTATATTGTCATCGGTAAGTGATTATGATAACATGGTAATATAAATTTTAATAAATAAATGGGAAAAACCTGGAACAACCTTGTGAATTGAAGTCCTTGAATTATAGCCCGACATTGTGAACCAGATCAAAATAAGGTATCCGTTATTTTTAACTAGAGTTTTGAGTTGGAGCCATGACAGAGTTATGTAGCGTGTGGTGAGAGAAACTCAGTCCAGTGCGTAATTGAAAAAAAGAGGTCTATGGCGGAAGGCATCTTTTTCAGCATCATCAATGGTATACGATTTTCGCCTTTAGTTGCTGGACAACATAACCACGAGGACATAGTTGCGTAGGCGAAATAACAGGGAAACTAAAACTGGAGCGAATCAAAGCAAAACTAGCGCAATTTCGCTTTCTAATGGCGTTAAGTTACTGAATAAAAATGGTTTTCAATTAGAAAAAATTTATCTCTCTATTTTAAGGTAGATTTAGGGCAGTTTCGCGCACAACCTCCCTTCTGTTTTCTCTTTCCTAGATTCACAACGTGAGTGAGGAAATCATTACGAAAATATTGTAAGAAACGTGGTGCGTGATTTAAAAGTCAGTCAAGCATTTGAAAAAATGCACTTATTTTAATAAGCAAGGTTTGCATAGAAAAAGTGTTTCGCAAAAGCCCTCCCTCGATTTGCGATCAGCCGCAACCAGGGTACTTTCTCAAGTGAGGAAGAGAGAGGACCTTGGAAACGAGGTTGTCGAGTATACTGTACAAAAGAAACATTGATCGTCGTAATTCATGGGATCGTGATCCCAGTGGAACGTTGTACTATCGAACAAGGGACTTCGAACCCTTGATCCATCTTTGAGTCAAAAAAAATATGATAAGACGTGAACAAGTATTCCTTGATTCCTATATTCAGTCCATCACCACGTTCAAGCTCTAGAATACTGCTGATCTGTATCTATCCCAAAGATTCTAAAGAATTTTCTGCAGTGCTGCAGCCCAAAACTAACTCTTCTTACAGTGAAATGCTTTAAAGGTGTTGCCAATAGAGGATTGAAATTATTTTGATTTGTCTTAACCTTTGAGTTAGTTTGCATTAGTTACAATGCGCCCGATTAGAAGAAAGGACACGGTAGATATTGCAAAGTGCGCATATGATGTTGTGACAGCTATTTGCGTGACTGACTATTCGTGTAATTAAATTCAATGTGTCGGTAAAGAAATGGCTTGGAAAGCAAAATTTCTTAGCAATTGACTGCTTTGAGATTTTCCAAGTTGGTTTTTCCATTCCATCCCGATTGAAATATATTTTTTGAACCTCAAAATGAAAAGCGAATGTACCTGGTTTGGAAAACATTAGTTAGTTCAACCTTGAAAGCGACGAAATGAGCTTCGAGTGGAAAGTACTTTGATTCCCGAACACGTTACAAATTATGATTGCAAAATAAAGACTGAATTTGTTGCCGTCAAGTGGGGCCTCGCCTCCTGCGCACCATTTTTCGGATCGGTAAGTATTATTATGGCTACTGCCTCCTATATAACAGAAGAGGAAGCCACATATGTCATGGAAATGTAAAAAGGATAAAAGGGTTACGAGTGTAAGGGGGTAAAAATAGAATACCGAACTTCACCCGATTTTGACCCGATGTCACTTCCTGTTTGTTTCTGAGTATCTTCGTTGTTCGACTTATTGAGCGTAGCACACTCTAAAGAAAGAAGAATGCGTTTGAAACAACTTATTTCGTGCCTAATAACACCAAAATATGATTTTCTCAATGGTTGCCGCGACGCTACATTCAAAATCACTTCATCATCGCCCCGCGTCTGCGTGGAAGAAAGATTACAAACCCAAATTAATGGCAAACAAACTGCTTAAAGGTGATTCCTCAGTGTTGCATTAAAAATCTTAACTTTTCCTTGTAGAGAAAACAGGAAAATGTGATCAGCGTATCATAGAAACTTTGATCAAAAAAACTGCCTTTAAAAAAAGATAATTTTACTGTTTAATTTAGCGAGCTGTTTTCAACGGAACCGATAAAATGATTTGCTCGGCTTTGTGCATTTTTGTATCACGTGAGGATATGAGTGAGGTCTGTAGAGCGTTTTTTTATTTATTGTCATTCGACTACAATTGAAGTTTACCCTTCAGCGAACTAGAAGAAAGATAAATATTACAAACCCAAATTAATGGCAAACAAACTGCTTAAAGGTGATTCCTCAGTGTTGCACTGCGCATAAAAATCGCGTAATCAGGCGAACAAGCGCGAATGCATTCCCAGAACATAGAATTGTTTTTCAATCAATGGATGAGCTAAACAGGTACAATTATCTTTTGTTCTTGAAAGAGCACGGTCACCTATATGTATGCGGTCAAATTTATTTCCTAAAAACTTTACCGATATTTGTACAAATACGATATACACCATACTCCTTACTGCAATAACATTTTCAGAGAAAAACGCAAAAAACCAAATAAGAATTTCAATTTAGGCAAATCTGATTTAAATCAATATCATGATCAAAAGAGGGAAACTCCGCTGATAAGATGATAAATTCACGTTTGGTGTTCATCTCTCTACATATTTCTCTATGACAACATTGATGTGAATACTTGGATCACTCAGGATTTATGGGAAAAGCCGCTCGATTAGCTTCGAACAATGGAATTTTCCACGTTAAGATTTGCAAATTTCTTATAATTCATAATTTATAATTAATGCAAAGGGTTATTACTTCATCCTATCAGAAACACAGCTCCCTGTCCAAGCTTGTATTATACTTCGAATCACGAAAGTGCCTTTGTCTATTCTCCTTTGTCCTTTCGTCCTTTTTCGTCTCCGAAGTCTCCGAATTTTAGTTATAAAAAATGAAAACATTTGCCGACTAATTCCCAAGATATTGATCTCATTCCTGTCTCCGTGCCTTTACATGAAGATACTCAATATTACCGATGGGAGTTAGACGATGACAACAATTTATTAAGACCTTTAGGTGATTCAATTATCGACTAATGGTTTCTTTTTATGTCATAATTATGGTAAAATTGCACAATTTACGTGCCCCTGTGATACAAAATACAACGAAATTAGAAACAGAGTGATTACTGTTTCCGAAGTTAGTAACACCAAAAGGGTTATCAATTACAGGAAACGAGCCATTCTTTGCTTTCTTTACTCTACAGTTCTTTCTTTGATTTGTTTTCCTTTTTCTTTCCTTTTTTTTTTTTCCACTGTTCATTTTCTGTAATGTGATTGGTCAATTTCGTCTAAGTGACCTCGGTAACAAATAGACGCTATAAATCTGAGTTTGACCGAATGGTTTCTTACGCATCAAAGCAGATGCATTTTCGAGAATAAAAAATCAAAGGAGTGAGGTACTCATGGTTTAGCGATATCTATAATGATCAAACCCACAAGTGCTGATAGATATTAGCAAGTAATCATTTTTGCTATATTTGACCTAAAACGGTACCACCAGGGGGCCAAGAGGGTAAGCTACCGGTATATCAGACACTTGGGCCGATATAATGACCTTGTTCCTATTTTTCCACACACCACTGTTAAGTCAAGGGTCACCGTCATGAAAATCTGCAGTCTTCAACGGCGTTAATGACACCGGCGTTAAGAACTGTCCACGTTGTGAACTCCTCATTCAGTCTAACCGAATAAGTGAATTTGGTAAAAGCTCCGGACCGAAAGTTATGTAGGTTACATGAAAATAATAGAGTGGTTATAAAGCGGAAGTCTAAAAAATATTTGGGCGTTTCAGGTCTTTCAGTGTATGGTTTCAGTTATTTGACCTTTCGGCACGTTTGCACTTCAACTGTATTAGCTCTAGCGCAAGTTTAGCTTTTTTAATTCTGCAACGGAAGAAATTGTTGCGTGGGTGTCTCTAAGGCAACTTTAGAAACACTTCAAAACAAAGTAACTTCCGACCAACGAGATTTTACTTCCGGCTATCACGTGAAGGGAGAAACCTTTAAAGCCTTAAAGAGCTTTAGTTGTCACCACTCTACTGCACATATTTGTTGAAGATAGGTGAGAGTAGAAGGACGAGCAAAGAACGGTGAACGAGGTAAGTAGTTTGTTCACGGATTAAAATATGAATATTTTGTCATCGAAGGCTAACGTTTGAGCCTATTTTTTAATCATTCTAATCATATCATTTTTATTTTGTACCGGATAATTGTTTGTTTCAATAATTTTCTTTTTATTTTGGTTATCTGTTACAGTTCTTGATCGTCAAAATGGGATCGCTGTTCCTAAAATTTGTCTACATTCTGACTGCAATGAGCATTGCTGCAGATTTTATGCATCTCGGTAGCACTTGGTTCAACGCGGGACAACATGACGGCGAGATAAGTGTCCAGTCTTCCTCCCTATTTCTCCCTGGGGCGAGTGGCGCGCCGATTTGGCCGTGGGTAGGGAGATATTTGTCAAAGAGTGCAATCAAAGCTGCTAAGAAAAGGGCCAAGAACCAAGCCAAAAAGGCCGGAAGGAGCAGAAATAAATCGAGAAAGAGTTCAGGGGGTGCAGGCAAGTGATAATTGTATCAAAAGTACTCATTCAGTCAATGAAAACTCCTTTCTTTTCTTGTTATGAAGAAAAAATATCAGGGAAGATTCCTTTCTCTCAACATTTGCCTTTTTTTTTTCAGAACACACCAAAAATGCTCGGAAAAGTACCTCGAATAAGCACCAAAAAGGACAGGCTAGAAAGAACAGGGACCGACAACGCGCCAAGGGAAATCGTAGAGGATAAACCATTTATTACTGAATTGTTAGTTGTTGAACTTGGACTCACTTTACTCAACTTCCTCTTTGTAATCAAGAAAATATTAGGCGACATCTAACTACGGCAGGGCTCTGTGACAAACTGGTACACATGCGTTGCTTCAAAAAATTAGTTGTTACGATCATGCTTTCGATGGAGGGGCGCCTTATTCGATTGCGGAAATGGGCCGGGGGCTCCGAATCTATAAGGACACCGATCGTGTTACGGCATTGGCGCCTGATTGGAAAACGACATCCTGTTACGCGCGCCACGTTCTAATTCAAACCACTTAAAAAAATTGTGCAACTTGTTTCGGATCAAAAAAAGATGTGGCAGGATGAGAGACTTCCACATCCCCATTGAACAAGAAGTGAATTGTCGCGACCTTTCCTCTTTCGTGTCGCCTAGTATTTCCCAGCCTAAAAATTCTCTGCAAAAACTAATGAGGTGTCGGTTTATATGTAAGCCCAGCTGTAATACTGACAATAACCAAAGATTAGACGAGTTTTGCTAAACAAATCATAAAATGTCTTCATTGCGCATTCGGCGTTATAGCTTTTTGTAACTGGTCAATGCTACAAGTTTTTATACAAGTTTTTATAAGTTTTTAGGACAACGGATTGAGATGCACTTAACTAATAAACATTATTTTTCTTTAAAATATTTCGTTCGCTAATGGACAACCAAGTACCAAGTATGCCACTTGGTCCTTATGATCCATTAACTCACCAGGAGGTGGGGGGGGGGGGGGTTGATGTGTACCAAAACCAGCGAGGAATGGATGGACATGAAAATGATTTGAAAGACGGGAGAATTAAAAGAGGTTTGTTTCGGTATGTCCTTTGGGAAGTTCGATGGAGCTTTTGCTCCTTAGCAAATTAAGGGTGTAGCGTTGATCGTTCTGCTCTGTTAATCAAAAAATGAGTCAAGGAAAACCTACTAGGTCGATCTCTTTACTTGTGACAATTAAACCTATGAAAAAGGGGCCTCGTGAACCTCGAGTCTCATTCCTTCTGATCTTATTAGTCAGATAAGATTGTATAAGGCTCTCAATCGATAAAAAAAAGGGGAGGGGAAGCGCTCGCGGATGCGCCAAAATTGTCGTCGATCTGTAAAGGAGTGTCTGCTTAGTCCCCCTGTCGTACTTCCCTCGTTCCCCCATCTTTTTCACTCGCCCCCAAAAACCGAGTGCCGGGAACAGGCAATAGTTAGATGGACACTAGAGTAATTCCTCGTGATTTGAGTACAATTTTTTGAGTCCAAAATAGTGAGTAATAGTTGGGGTGGTGAAACGCAAGCCATTGGAGTCGATCGTTCAAACGGAAATTTAAGCGACACTCTTTTCACCTCGAGTTGAAAACACCTAATGGCCGGCACTCCGCTGTTTTTGATATATGAGGCGAGTCGACTGAACCCAGCCAAAGCCAAATATCGTATGTCGACAAGGGAGTAATCCGGCCTGAAGAGCCTTATATAAAGGACCGAAATCCAACCCTCGATTTTCTGTGACACTGGAGCGTAAGAAGCCATGACTTTGTAATAGCAGGAAAATTTAATTGAGTAAGTTTCGCCTCGTGTTTTACTATCCAATTACAATGACCAAGCTAGGCAAAGTGAATCTAGGTTAAATCAGATTGAGCTTCCATAGTTATCAATACTATAAACTAAATTGATAGTTTATCCCCGATTTTTATTCGATTTTTGCTGTTCCTTGTTCCTTCTCGCTTCTGCTATCTCGTGCGTATTCAATGTACTTTTACGTGCATTTTTGGTGTGCACTGAAAAAAAGAGAGAAAAAAAGAGGATTTTTCTCAGCAACTCATGTCTTGAAGACCAGAAATGAAAATATCCACCGTCATACATGTTCTGACATTAAGCAATTATTGGATTGACTATCAAAACTGGTCTGAGTTATCTTTCGAAACCTGAGGCTACGGTAGATAACACAGACACGAGGTTTGATAGTTCATCGTGTCATGCAAAAATTCAATCGTTTTATTATACATTTTTGAAACAATCTGCAAAAGACTTCTATCTGAGTTTGTAGCATTTTGAGAACACTGCAAGGACGTAGGCTTGGAAACTACGCAGATTTTGAAAGCAATACTGGGTTATCATGTCCACTTCACACAGTGAGAGTAGAATTAATTAGACCGTTAACAAGCATGCGCATACTCAAGGATGCAATCTAGCGTTAAGTGTAAACAGACTAATTTCTACTTGATACCACATACCAGCACCCCCCTTCCTCTTTTTGGCTTTGTTTTTCGCCTCTCCCGCTTTTCTGGCTTGGTTCTTTTCCTTTTTCTTGGCAGCTTTAATCGCACTTTTGGTCAGAACGACAGCACCTCTTGCCACCCAAGGCCACACTGGCACACCACTAGCCCCAGGCAAAAACAGGGCGGACGATTGCGCACTAATCTCAGCGCCATATTGTTCTGCGTTGAACCTGAAGCCTCCGAAATGAAGTAAATCTGCAGCAATGCTCAATGCAGTGAGAATGTACACTAATTTCAGGATCAGCGATCCCATTTTGAAAACCAAGAACTGCGACAGCTACCTGACATAAATAATAAAAAGACTCTAAACTAAAATATCATATGGCGCAAAAACAAGAGCGCAAGAGCGGAGGTCAAGTAGATCGGTTGTTTTTCACAGGAAGATACACAGGATGAAGTATAAGCCGAGATTAAGCCTTAAGAATATCTGGCTGTTTTTTTTTTGGGGGGTTTGTTCGTTCGTTTTCGTATTTTTCCTCGCAAATCATTTCTAATTAGTCTGAATATGGCTTTGCAATTGATTGGGAACACAACGAAAATGGCTCCGAGACCGAATATCATACGTTTTCCTTTTACTTTGAATAATTGTAATGGGGCACAAATGTATTAGAGGATGCTTCTGACGTCAGATTAACATACCACTTCATGCCAAGAAACTGTAATTAGTTTATACTAGGTGATCTTCCTCGATCGAGGAACACACTGGCATATTCAAAATGTCTGATCTGGGCTCAGAAGACAAAAATCGATTGCGCTTCGGTAACTTAAATGCCCTTCATTATTAATATCACACACGTACAATAAAGGTCAGCGTTATCACAATAATGATGCCAAACTATACAATGCAATTATGTCCTTCTCGGCCTTCCTCATTAGAACTTCGTTATCTGTGACCAGACTACTCACCTTCAACTGATCGTTCTTTATGCTCCTCTGCCAACCAAGCAACTAAGGTTTGAAGCACTTTTAGCTGTATATAGGGAAAGGGTTAACTTACGTCACGTGATAACCGAAACTACAAACTAATTGGTCGGATGCTAGTTTGTTTTGATGTGTCTCCAGAGTTGCCTAATAACAGTCCAAAGGTAACGATTTGTTTCCTTATTTCTGAATCTGCTATTAAGGAAGTGAAGTTTGAAGTACTTTTTTCCTCAGTGGCTGATACAGCCATCAAGGTGCGCACGCAACGAAAGGCCTGAAATAGAAGCCTCATTCCAGATTTCATAATAAGAAATAAACTAAGTGTGTCTGCAATAGAGTAAATGTATCATGGCAGCCTTTCATTAATTCTTTGAGTAATTTTTTAGATTTGTTTGATTTAGCTATTTCAAACTTTTTTCTTTCGTTTTAACTTCTCATTCCCAAAATGCTAAGATTCTGTAACTTCCGAGCTGTCAGTTTGTGGCTTATTCGTGTTTTAGTATTCTGCACAATGAAGCTCGGAGGTTGTTTGTCTCATCGCAGTAGGTGGCTTCATAAATTCGGCTTTCATGATTTGAAATGAGATTTTGGCGTTTCTTTTTTTCTTCGGCATTCAGAACGCCACTTTCACTTTAAGTCGAGTATATTTCTCGCCAGGAATGTCAATACAGTGTCGCTTTATTGTTTAACATTAGGTTTCTCTTCCGTCCGTGATGTTTTCGAACTCCGAAGCTTTTGCACGGTAGAGCTTTTCGCCTTGGGTCAATTCTCTCCGTCACGCATCAATCTGCGACGTTACAATCTTGCAAAGCCCCGAAAGTGAGTTATGGCGGTGGCATTAGCTAATTATACGGGATGACAGGAGCTGTTTGTTTAAACGCAAGAGGTTGGGGAGGTGAAGGCAATAGAAAGAGCTCCATTATAGTAGAAACTGGATGCAGACGTTCGTAATTGCAAAACGTGTTTACTCTGTTAATAACAAAATGGAGAAATTGTAGACATGCCACAATTCCAATGTCCTAGTTTCCGTTCTGGATGCTTTCTTTTTTACTTGGTTGGTGCTTAAAAACAGAATTTCTACATTACTCATCGTTAAATGTCAAAGAGTTGAGTTTGTTTCCTTTCCTTTCAGTTTATATGAACGCAATGCAGATGGAAGCTGGAAGCTCGCGTTATTTGCATATCGCCGCTGACTGAATCACATAGGACATCATAATAACTTAAGAGTCAGAAGGAAGAATTTTCTTCCTTTATCTCTAACCTGCTGATACGGAAGTGGAACTTCAAGTTCCCAATTCCGCAGTAGCTAATACCGCCATCAGAGTGTGTACGTGCCGGAAGGCCTGAAACAGAAACTCTATACCGAAGCGCTGAAACCCTAAGCGGCCTTTAACTCTCAAGATCTCATCAGTGATTCTCCTTACTGTCTGTTATATGAATCTTGTGACATTAGTTCGGAACATTTGGTATTGGATCAATAATCCCCTAATTGATATTTTTCTTGGTTATCATCACTTGTCTGTTTGATGTATTGATATTGTATGCAGAAATTCTGTCTTGGTCTCTCATTGGAGCTAAAGGGTTAAATTTCCGCAGTGTGGATAAAGATCAGTGTACCTTCACAGCCGTTTTCAAGTGGACAGGTTTCCTTGTGTTGCGTAGGGTCGGGTCGTTCAAAGCTGTTTTTAACCCAAAATTAATGTGAAATCTGATTGCAGATCAGAAATCTTTAAAAGAAAATTCAGTATAGGTTTTTTTGTCTAGAAATCGATTTTATGTAGAGATTATAAGGTTTCGTGACAGTGACATTAAGTTAGTTGAATAGTGCAGCAATTTAATGACATCGATTTAGCGTCTGTTTAGTGTGATTAGCAAATAGAAACCTGATAACTTCATTTGATAGCTTAATAAGTTTTGCGTAACCTTTGAACTAGAGCACGGCTGTTGTACGACACTTTTTTTTTTCTTTAAATAGTTCTGTTACTGTTGATAAATCTTTTTCGTGAAGTTCGGCTGCCTGTAGGCATTCACGACATGTGGATGCTCTAAACCAAATAGAAGAAACTATCCGAAAAAGGCTTTTGAAAGGAGGAATAAAGAAACCCAGGCGATTTACAATTTAAACCCGGGTCAGCGTTAATTGGCCCTCGAACAACTAAGCCCTCAGTTTTAAAGATTCCAGACTCTTGCAGGACTTTTTTAGACCGTAGAATTTGGCTACTGGTTCAATTTCCGCCGTGTTACCAAAACTGAGGAAAAACATTTGAAATAAATGGTTTGAAAGGGTAAGAAAGATATCCAAAGAGATTTGAATCATTTGACGCTTTCACCTGCAACACCCTTGAAAGAACGTCTTTCATAAAGGGGCCTGTAACCCTACATTCATCAATCAACATCAATTTATTTACGAGTTAAGTTTAAGCTAGGCTCTCGGCAAGTTGGAGATCGCGCGAAAATCGCCGAGGGTCTGGGAAAGAATGTCACCCCAGTCCCTTCTTTGAACTACCCTTACTTAACCAACTTTTTGCTCGGCCCCACAAACTGAGCGCCTGGAAGTGGCAGTAGTTCCATGGGTGCTGGAGTAACTTCCTCAACCCTTCTTGAACATTATCAAGAATAAAAATGGGTAGTATCAACTTTGTTGATTGTAAAAGAAAGAAGAACTGAAGCCTACGTGAGTTCATCCACTGCAGTGATCATCACTTAATAACTACCTTCTTTTATTTACAAATTTAACTACAAAACTATTGAACATACATACCACAGAGTTTGTATTATCTTAACCCCATGAAATCCCAGGAACTGTTCAAAAGGCTTTTCCGTGTTTTATGAAGAAAAACATTCCAACATAACGTTATACAATTATGATTATTGCAACAGTTTGAGCCATTTAACATAATCATTTTCATACGAAATTTGACAACACAAATTTTCAAATTTCAACGACTTTTCAGCCTTGGAAAACAAAACTACCGTATTTATTAGATTAAGCACCCGAATAAGCGCCCACCTTGTAAGTATGGAAAGTAAATAAGCGTCCAGCCTCGAATCAGCACAAGGATCACATTCAGAGCCTCGATTACAACACAAGGGTCTAGTCAAAGTTTTTCGAGGTTCCTAAAGATAATATCAAACCCGATGCGTAGGTCTATTAATTTAGTCGCGTGCACTATAGAACAAGTAAGGTATCTGCCACGGAGTAAAAACAATATTTCGTGATTTGTTCTGTCATACGACTACACTGCATACTTCTAAATGCACACTATGTGAGCTACACTAAAGTTTTAGTCGAAGCTATAAATTCGTCACTCTAACCTATGCAAAATGTACCCAGTAATAGATGGATGGGCAAGTTTAAAGGTAACTGCGATTAAGCGGAACTGACTTAGTAAAGTCATTTGAATACCACGCCTTGAGTGACTTTTACCATCGATCTACGAAAATTATCTTACGCCCGTTTCCTCAAAAGGAGGATATCTTTAATTTGTCTTTGAGTCTAAAGTTGGTTTTTACTGAGTCATAAAGTTGATTAAATTGTTCGTAGTTTCTTGCACTCCCCAAAGGGATTTTCAAAGTTTAACAGCAGCCTGATGTTCATCTTCCGGGCTACAACTGCCCTACCATCTGGAACGTTGGCATCAGCTGCTTCCACTGTGAGAGACTGTCACTTTGCGTCAACTACTGACTGGATTCACTCTGATTGGAGACTTCTTTGTCCATAAAACGCCTGAAAGACGTAACAAGATTGATATTGTGTAAAGAAACCATTCTATTGTTTCGGAAATGCCAAATAAAGTCGAAAGCATACATGTAAAAAATATTTAAAAGTTTAAGTCAGTTTAAAATCCCTGCGGCCCATCCTGAAGTTTATCTAGATTTCTACCGCACAAAGTGACTGGAAGAATTGCTAATCAAATACCCTTGCAAAGCGCAGTGGCCCATTGCAAGTTGGCCCCAAATCTTGCTAACACTCCATTACCTTTCTACACCTATAAAATCTACATAGATCCTAAGATAGTTTTGTATTCTTCATTTCTGACTTTATCACTCACCTCCTTGCCTGTTGAAGCATCATCTCTTTTCTCTTTAACAACAGGGACTGTCTCACTGAAGATTGTGTTGAAAACTCCATCAAAGATGGCGATACACTCCTGTATCTCTCTCCCGGTGGTGTTTCATTAGGTGGTGGGCTCTCGTCACGCTTTGGACGCTGCTCCAACGAGGCAGCCTCTTCAAGTGCCTGTTCTCTCATCACTTCCGCATTATTAGATGCTTCTGTGCTGTCTTGTTCTGTCTCACTTGTAGAGCTTTCAGTTTCTTCAGGTGTATTTGAAGGTGTCAGTGAGTCTGAAATATGAGTATGCAAGGATCCATAAGCATATCTACGATAAGTGGCAAGAGTTTCGTGGGATGCTAATTTTTCCCACCTGACTGCATTGATGTTCACTTTGCCCCACCTCACTCAAATACACTGTTGAGTTTGAGGACCTGTTTACATGGAGGTGGGGCACCCCAGGTAGGTGAAGTGATACGCCTAGGATGGGTAACCCATCTGTCCATAAAATTCCCTGACTTATGTTGATCACGTTTACAACACACGTGGGGCAGCCTGCCTGGGCAGATTGCCGCAGATTGTTCAGTATGAGAGGTAGGGTAACCATGTCAGCCAGGGTCACAATTTGCCATGTAAATGCTGCAAGGTGGGGTTAGGGTAACCTGCCTGGCCAGGGTCATGTTCCTGTTACATTAACAACAAATTCTAGCAACTTTGGCTTGGGATCCCAGGGTTAGATGATTTATATAGAAATTAAATCATCTTCCTTGGAATATCATCCAGCCTAGCACAAAAAGTCTTTTCTGAGCACATACCTGGGTGTGCTATCTGAAGGAGCTCTGAATCCTCTGATTGTTCCTCAGGTGGTGTCCAGACCTAAACAAGGCAAATTAAGCCACAGTGTTAAGATCCAGAAATTAGGATAACCTGTGAGTTGAAGCACGACCTGTGAGTCAAAGCATGACAATCACATTAACCCTTTAATTCCCAAGACCTCATTACTAATTCTCCTTACTGTCTTCACAGTGATTCTCATTATGTTAGTTTGGAGAATTTGGTATTGGATCAATTAGTAATCCCATAATTGATATTTTTCTTTATTCTCATCACTTGTTTGCATGACATTGTACAGATAAAGTAAGGAGAAATTCTGTCTTGGTCACCTACGGGAGTTAAAGAGTTAACTACTGATGGAAAGAATAAACTCTATTTGGTTCACTTTTCTTTCACTCCTTCAATTTCTCAATAACCTTTTTTCAAAGTTCATGCACATATTTGTATGTAAGCATGCATACAGGCAAAAGCAGAATACACTGAAGAAACCAGATTTTATTCCCCTTTGCCATCTAAGTCTCTTAGAAGATACCTACATTTACAGTTTCAATTCACCCACAATATAAAACGTAACGTGCATGAATTTTACATGTGATTGGCACGTGCATATTAACAAAAGGACTTTAAGTTCTTAATATGGTTAGAGACTTGCCATTTAAGGAGATTGTAATATTTCAACCTGGGATCTTTAGAGAAAGTTATCTTGTTGTCACTTTGTTTATCATTTTGGTTCCCAGTTCAAAATCCTCCCACTTGCAATATTTCAATTCTAATTGAGGGACATCACTTACAGAAGGCACTGCTATGTTTCCCTCCAAAATATTATCAGTGGTGACCTCAAGGGAGTGAGTGTGTCTTAAGTCCTCCATAATGATGTTGAATGGCATATTTGGAAACATGGCTTGTACTTGGTGTGCCTAAAGATAAACATCACACCATTCTTAGTCAATTTTAAATAGGAAATTGACAGCAGAGTGAAATTATCCAATGACCTAAATACTGGAAAGGAACCATGGTTCTAACAGTGAGTAATGCTTGGATGATCTTGAATCTGACGATGACTTTCACTCAGCCTGGTCATCCATCAGTAAATCTCACAACTGATTACAATACATTATGAACGGACTGTTGCTCCTTGGCTCATTCCAATAAATTGCACAATAAAAAAATGGTTAAAAAAAGAATGGAAGAAACAAAAACAAATTATTGACTGAAAATCCCTAATTATCAAAAACTGGTTCTTGGGATAATGCAATTCAAGAGTTTTCATTGGCTTAGCCATCATGGGTCATGAGCCATTAAACTATGCACACACATGAAGACAAGTTAAATGGGAAGTATATTTTGTACATTTTAGCTGTTACAATTTCTTTGTTCTTACAAAATAAAGTTTGTAAGATATATCTCTATTTGGGGGCGTTTTTAATAAACAAACTATTCCACTACCAATTGTTGGATATGAGGTGATTTTAGCCAATGAGGCCTTGTTGGCTATTTGTCATCTCATATCCATTGTGTGCTCATGGAGTGATTGTTTGATAAAGATTTACCATAGCTTCAATGCGGCTCTCTGGAAGTTGACCCTCAGCTGCATTTTCCACTCCAGTGTGCATGACCTCCACAGAGAAGCTTGGAAACCAGCTGGCTATCTGAGAACCTAAAGAGAAAACATGGCAAAGAATGGTTTACTCTCTTAATTACCAAGTAACAAGCAACTTGTCTAAAGTGGTGTTAAATCACCACCATCCCAGTCTGACTATTTGGCCATTAGCAGCAAATGGCTTTAACCTTACCATCAAAGTGGAAAAAGTGGTTTCTTCTTAGCCCACGCCCCATCATAAATGCAGCCACTCCTCTTGATTGCCTCTGCTCCTCCTGCTCAGGTTGCAGATCGCTGGCAAGTGACTGGCGGCAGGTAGGGCAGGAGGTGTCATTCTCCAGCCACGACCTGAGACAAGAACTAACCGAAAAAAAAGTTCTTGATCAGCATTTTAACCATCAATGGGTGTTTTATCGAGTACAGAAGTAATTCTTGTTACCATATTGAGTACTGAAGAATTAACATGAGATAGAAAGAGTGTGTACATATAGCTGTAAAAAGGACGGTAAAGGCTCAAGTTGGAATGCTCCTCATTGGAGGAAATTAATTTGAACAATTCAAACAATTTCATACTTATGGAAAAGATGACCACATGGTAGCTTCCTTGCTGCAACCATGGAATCCCAGCAGATGGCACAATCATCATTATTCTTAATCAACTCTTCTTCTGTTGCCAAGGGAAACCTGAGGATCATATGCAGACAACCATCAATCAGATGTCAAATTAAACAAGTTGCATTCAACAAAAATATACAAATTTTGCCTGTACCACTGACAGAGGTGTAAAATGATTCTATAAAAAATAAAAAAAAATTCACCACTGCAGCAAAATTATCACCTTTCATCTGCATCTCATTACTGCACATGTAAAATAGTAAGCTACATGGTCACATTTAACCCTTTAACCCTTTCACTCCCACAAGTGACCAAGACAGAATTTCTCCTTACAATATCAATACAATATCAAGCAGGCAGGTGATGAGAATCAAGAAGAATATCAATCATGGGATTATTAGTTGATCCAATACCAAATTCTCTGAACTAACATCATAAGAATTGTATGGCAGATAGTAAGGAGAATTACTAATTAGATATTGGGAGTGAAAGGGTTAACTCCCAACATCCAATTGTTAATTCTCCCCTCTAGCAGTTACACATTTCCTTGTAAATAACTTGCGAGAATTTGGTGTTAGATCAAGGTAACAACTTCTACCTGATACAATTGAGTATTCTCATAACCTGTTTGCTGGAAAATGCATGAATATTGTAGGGAGAAGATACTTGTTAATCACTTCTGGGAGTTAAAGGGTTAAAATACATTTAAAGGTTCATCATGTTACACCTCTTATTTTTCAAAAGATGTTTCAAATCTATAATCAAACTAGACAAATTACCTTGACTCCATACACTTGATAATCCTTACATAACTCCGATGTTTTGCCAGCTTTTTCTTGATCCCATAGAAGAGGTGACGAAGTTGCATACACAACACCAAGCTGGCCATGCTTAGGAAGATGTTTGACCACAACTATGAAACAAAAGAATACAATTAAATATAAAAAGTGAAAAAGTCTGCTTTTAAATACCACTAACAGATATTTTTGTTTATTGGATGGTTCTGCAAGCACAAAAAAAAAGAGAGAAAAACCTTTCATACTTGTAATTTTGGCCAGTCTGGATAAGTGTAATACAGTAAAGCTTGCACAGTCATAACCAATGAGGAACTTTTTTTATTTACAAGAAAGTTGTTAACTGGCAGCATTTACAGCAAATGAAACACAAATACAAATTAACTTTCAAAAACTTCCATCTGTTGTTTGATTTTACCTCAGTGTTTTCAAATGGTTCTTAAAATTTCATGTCTTGTCAATTACCAGAATTACTATCAATAAACATTTGTGTAATTGTAATTTGAGTAATAATTATCTTTGTGACACAGCACAGATTTCATTGGATATCATTTATCTCATTTACTGCCCAGGGGAATGGAACATTTAGGGGCACATTTACTTCAAACAGAAATACCAACAGAATTAATATTTAATTCATTCTCACCAACATGTGAAGGTGATGAGCAAAGTCCACAATGTACAAGGCCAATTCCATCATCATGTCTGTGTTGTAACTCCATGTGCTTCTTCCTTCCCACATACTGGTATGACCTATATCCCACAGATGAATGCCATACCTACAGGATATAAAGAGGTTTATTGGTAACAAGTCTGGATACTGTGAATCAAATGAATTTCAAATTTTGGACTGCTTTATTCAAGATTGGAGATGGGAGCAAGGGGTAACTATCCTGGTAATTTTCATCCCTGAAAATTTTCTGAGAAGTGCCTGTCTAAGATAAAGTGCCATACAAACACCTCAATCCACCTCAATCACAAGGTCACTCACAGCTTGCTAGCAGAAGAGTTTAAAATAATAAAGAAGAACAACATCATCACATGCATTTTATACTTATCATGTAACTATCAAAATAGAAATTACCTTATCAGACCATGAACTATTTTGATCAGTAACAACATACACTGAAAAATAAAATCATATACTGTGAAACTTCTCATAAGAGAAGATAACATTTAAAAATCAGTAATCATCTACACAAAGTAACTGCAAAGATAGACTATATATGTACCTCAGCCAACATGAATGTGAAAGTGTGTATGCCATCTGGCCAACCAATAAAAAGACAGATGAAGAACAATCCATTGCAACATAACACCAAAGTATTGAGTAAACCAATCACTTTTGCATGAGACCAAGGAGACGTTGTCGGTGAGAAAGACAACTAAAGGAAAAAATTAAAGGGGTATATTTAGTGATAAACTTGCTTAAAAATCTATTAATTGTAAGCAGACACCCCTCTGACCAGGAAGAAAAGAGCCTTCATAGTATAATGATTAACTGTACCATTAATATTATACAAGAAAATGTAGAATGAAGTGTGTGGGCATAAAGAACATTAAGAAAAAAAATAACAAAATATAGAAGAAACAAAAGCCAATTCAGCTTGTTTGTTCACTATGATGTATCTTCTCATGTTCCTCTGTAAATGGTCATGATTCAATCATTTCTTAGAACCAGGAAAAACATTTCCTCAATATTTATTTCAACTGATAAAACATATCAGCTCAGGCAAGTGGTGGTAGAATAATAATTCCTTTACTTTGTTTATACCCTCCCACTCCCTACAAGGACAGAATACTCATTAGAGAAGAACAATTGTTCTTTCAAAATTCTCTTGAGATGTCTGCATGCCCCATAAGAGATTGAATCATAATGTAAGTGATTTTCAAAAGACTATGGCTTTGTTATATCACTCTCTGTTCACACCATGACCCTTTACCCTGAAGTCCAACGTACTGATTCTGACACGAAAAAAACAAAAAATAAACGAAACAACAATCTAAAAATAAACAAAAACTTCTCAATAATTTCAATGTGATATCTGAGGGTATGGGACACAAAATTGCCCTCAATTAAGCTACCATAGCAGGCGTAATTCAGACAGCTAACAATCAAGGCAAGACACTAATGACTTACATATTCAAATCTGTCTTTACAGAGCTGTGTGAACAAATGAAAGAAGCCGAGTAGAGTAAACCAAGCCGTCCACCACATCACTTCATTGAATTTCTGCACATTTAGAACTCCAAAGATGAAAATAAACTTGTAGAAAATAAAGTTCCAGAATCTGTCTTGAATTTGCTGTAAGACAAAGACCAAAATCCGTTTAAACTCTCCACATGGTTTGGTTAAAATGTTGTTCATATGTGAACCAATCACTTTAGACTGGCTCTCACAGGTAGACATCCAAACCTCAAACCACAAATGGAACAAATATTTGAGCAAGACTGAAGTTTAAGATGGCCAATATTTAGCTCACAAGTAAAACCAAAGTCTGCATTTGTAAGCTTCGTCATGATGAGCGAATTGATTACGGTGTGAAGAAAAAGTGAGCACGTTATTATGGTTAATGTATACACGTTTGGGTAAGTTTCAAAATATCTTTTCAAAATAAGTAAGAGTAGGAAGTCTGAGAAAACGTTGGAGTGCAAAGGAAATCGATCTGGATCACTACCGTTCTCCTAACCTTTTTCTTCTCACGAGATTGAATCAAATCAAACATTATATAATTTTATCAACTTAGAAGGAAGGCAAGATGCGCAGCTAATTAAACAAAAGATCAATAGTTGAAAGTCGACCATAATTACTATATTCTCGAGGAGTTACTTGTTGTCCGGTCGGTCATTTTAGCGGGTGTACAAAGCTTATCAAGCCTTAATTAGGCTACGGTTATAACTTTCAGAAAACATACCATTCTAAACTGTCGTTTTATCAGTTACCTGAAGTTCACTGGCGCGAAGATCTCCAAATACAACCCTTTGGATAATTTTCCCGAACAAAAACAAACAACAGTAGGCCATGTTCAAGTTCGACTAAGGGAGTAAAATGCAAGGGCAAATATTAGAGGAATACTCAATTCTCGGCTAAAAAGCACTTTAGTAAAAGCGAAAAAACACTTACCCAAAAACAAAAATTATCCTGAGACATAAAATCGTAAATATTCAACTTCTCCTTCTCATCAGAACCAACAGTAACATTCAATGCGTAGAGAACGGCCGAAACGAACAACAACACGCTTACAGTCACATATGATTGCAGAGAGGGAAGAGGCAGTTGTTCGAGAAAAACCAACGGCATTTTCCCTCTAGATATGATGCAACTCAAAGGATGTGAAAAACAAACGTATCTAAAGCAAAGAAGAGAAGGGAAGCCTTTACAGTGCCCACGACCGTCGAATTAATCGCGACTTCAGCATTTGTCTGAGTGGTGCGTGCAGCAAAATGGTGACGTCACCATTTCTATGGGGACCCCAGATAGGGCCTTTTTGTTGCAGCAAGGAGGGGTAAGTCACAAAAATACTTCTCTGCAGATAATCAATAGCAAAGTTTTAGGGATTTCGGTCATATCGCGTGTCTGAAAAATTCAGTATCTTAAATCAGAGAAATACTAGCAATGAAAAAGACTTTCAAAAGCAGGCTTCATTTTTTGGGAGGGAGGGGTAAGTGGGGCAAAGGCAAATTCCTATTGCCATCAAATTGAATCTATATTAAAGTTCAATCTATGAACAATCTATGATTCAATCTATGAAATCTATGAATCTATGAGTCACAATATCAAGATAAAGGGTACCAGGGTGAAGCTGCCGATAAAAATAATTAAGACCTGTCTGGCTTCAACTCTCAATCATTTGTAAGACTACCATTGAGTGTCTTTTAATCTACAACCTCACTTTTTAAATATATTTAGAAAAATAATGTGGTATGTCGGAAGCATAGGTTATTATTACTGTCTTGTGACGTTCCCCCAAAAGGATTACAGGATGGTTAGCAGAATTATTGAACACAAAATTTCAGCATGGCCTTATTTTTCTCACATTCTACTCAGGGGTCTTAATTCATCATCATCATCATTTCCATTTATCTCTGTTATGTACTGCATAAGTTCTGTGTAGTGTTCTTCAAGGTCAAACTCGGGTAGTTTACTCAAAGCTACCATAGCCACCCTTAAGCAAATTGAAGCAGTTAATCCCCAAATATGGAAGGTCGAATTTTCTTTTTGGCTCTCGCCTTCACCTACACCTGTGTCATACAAGAAGAAATGAAATTCAAATGTCTTGCCTTTGAAATTCATTTTATCACGTTTATGTGTTTCTTTCGAAAGGAAAAACTCCAGAGGGACCTCAAACGTAGTCTGAACCTCGGAGTTGTTGATTACTAAGTCAAATTGTGACTTTACGAGGCCAATTACCGGATACACGTACATCGGCCTTGCTCTCGCACGCGATGTCAGTGGACTCAATACTGCAACGACTTGTACTATCTCCGGAGATAAACCAACTTCTTCGTGAGCTTCTCTTAAAGCTGTGGCTACAATGTCTTCATCGTCATCTTCTTTTTTTCCTCCAGGAAATGCAACTTCTCCTTTATGAGTGGGTAAATGCTCAGATCTCAATGTGAGAAGGGTATAAAGAGATCCCTCTCTGATAAAAATTGGAACAAGAACTCCTGCGGTCAGGAACTCCGGATTTGTTTGAACTTCGTGGGCAATTACGTGTCTTTTTTCCGCATATTTTTTTACTCTACTGTGGCACAAGTCCAGTAAATGAGACTGATTTGACGGGGTTTTCATATTGCCATCTAGAGCTCCGTCCATTCCTGTGAGGTCTACACCGCTATTGAATGTAGTAGAGGCTATAAAAGCTGCCGTATAAACCATGCGCTCCTCACTATAGTCTTATACAACGCGTAATTTCATTGGCCAGGAGTACAGAATCCAATCAAATAACCTGTTAGAAAAACCCACATGTTGTTGGGAATGGTCTCTTCGATCTATTTGAGGAAGTTGTGTACGTTTTCTTCTAAAATAGCTAAGAGATTTTACGGCTTCTCTGGTCGGTTGAGAAGCGAAATGTTTTTACAGAGGTTCAGTCCAACTACAGGAAGAATGGAATGGGTCATGGAGGATGAATATTACGACATGAGGAATGAAATCGCGAGGTAATTTAGGAGATCGTTACATTCGTGTTTGACAGGATAACTGTAGTGTGGAAAGTGAAATACGATCGAGCCAGAGACAAACTCAGCGAAGTTATTCTCTTCCATCTTTCTTCCACAGATCGTCTTATGCAGACATGCTTCACGATGACGAGAGGGTAGGATTTTGATAGAATCCTATAAGTTGCAATTGTTGAGCAAAAAAGAGACACTTATGAAGGAGTTTCTCAGGACATGTTCAGCTAGGAAAATCACTCATTAGATCCGCTAGAAAAGAAAAAAGAAAACTGGTTGTTTCTTAGATTTTTGTATCCTTTTTCGCTGTAGAACAAAATGTACTATCAGGCAACCAAAGACGCTGTCAAAAATATCAACGCTGCTGGGAAAAAAATTCACATGCTAGATATTGGAACAGGGACTGGACTTCTGGCCATGATGGCTGTGAGGAGTGGGGCAGATGGGGCCACTGCTTGCGAGGTAACCAATCACCTTTTTAGTATGCATGAAACAAATTGTGTTATTCTGGATTCTCAAATCTGCTTACTTTGTATTTGCCAGGCATTTGAACCTATTGCTAAAGTAGCTACTGAAATAGTGAAAAAGAATGGATTTGGTGACAAAATCTCAGTTATTGGGAAACGCTCAACTGAATTATCAATGGAAGAAGGTAAAAAAATTCATCATTTTGATAGATGTAATAGTAATTATCTATTGTGGGTGGAATATGGTGCGGAGTGATAATGACAATGATGATGAAAATTGATGATAATTGCACTTGAAACCATTTTTACCAGGCTTCGGTATGTTATTCAAGCCCTGGCCAGGGTCACTGTGTTGTGTTCTTAGGCAAGACTTCTCTTCACCCAGGTGTACAAATGGGTACCAGCAAATGTGCTGGGGGTAACCCTGCAATGGACTAGCATCCCATCCAGGGGGGAGTAATAATACTCTTAGCCACTTCATGCTAAGAAAACTAGAGTTAAGTACTGGCCCCATGGGCCACTTGGGCCTGTATAAAGGCTTTACTTTTTTTACTAGGTAAGTTATTGGTCATCCTCAATACAGGTCCAAGGATGGTCAATAACTTACCTATGTGTTACAAGAAGTATTGGGTCTCAGCCTTGGGAAGTTACTGCAGCATGATTTTAGAGATCTGGAAGGGCATCAGAGAATTGGAGAGAATCATCTTGTAAAGAGAATTAGAAATGATAGTACTCGATTAATAAATCTTGTCAGTTCTATATATACCTTGTAGTATTCAGATTTGGTGGGCAATGCACTTGGCAGCTAATTAATATAATTTGTACATCCTGCAATACTCATAACTGTTATTTCAATCAATGTAGTGGGTGATTGTTTTTACAAGGTGCTTATAGAAAATTCAGTTTCAATTGACAAGTAATTGTTGGTTTTTCTTACAGATGGAAATTGCCAAAGCAGAGCTAACTTACTAGTAACAGAACTTTGGGATACAGAACTTATTGGAGAAGGTGCACTACCAACTCTAAGGGATGCTTGCAATCGCTTACTGGAGGTATAAATTTTCTTAATTTTGTCAATAGTAAATAGGAAATGTAAATGGTAAATTTTGTTTTCAGCAAGTATTTTTTATTTCCTTATCTTGTTTGCCTATGTTACAGTCCACAAAACAGCATGACTCTTGAAGTACTGTAAATTGTCAGAATCAGGTTAATTATAGAATCTGAGTTTGCTTTTATTAAAGATGTAGCACAAACTTTAACAATGATTTATCTCTATAGCCAGGATTTGTCAGTGTCCCAGCAGCAGCTACAATTTATGCTCAAGTTATAGGAAGTGATGCACTTTGGAGTATGCACCAGTTAAATCCACAGCAGGTAGTAAGAATGCCTTAACAATTGTAAATCGCAGTTTGAGAAAGGAGAACATCACATGTGTCTTTCTTTTATGAGTATGAAAAAAGGCAAACCAAGCCACAAAAGCAAATGAGAAGGGCGGAATTTGTGAAATTTGAATTAATTTCTTCCTAGCCTCCTTGTTTGGTTGATTTTTATAATACCCTGCTTTGTTACTGGGAGTGAACAGTGTGACATGCAATATATATTGTACTTATAGGCCTAGTATACATGTATGAAATGTTTTTAACCTTATGTCTTGTTTTGATGTATGTCTTAAGTAAATGTAGTCAACTTTTCTAGGTTATTGATGGCTCGAACTGAGGTTGCAGGTGACATTTGAAGACATTTACACTAAGGTAGCTCTGGTAGAGCTAACTTTGATAAAACTCAGTTGTAAGTTCTTTCTGCTCAGATGTTAGACAACCAAGATATTACCTTACCTGCTGATATGAAAGATTGTCGTGGGACTGCAAGTGGTTTTGATCTACATGTTGATGAGCTTTCTGATGAAGAAATTCATATTTTTACATCACCTGTTCCAATTGTTAGGTAAAATCCATGTCCAGAGTCATAATGATGTAATGTTTATTTTTAGATAGGGAGATTTAAATCAAATGTCAGGATTTAGACATGCATAAATGCAAGACTGGCTGGTAAACTGCAGTTAAAGCTGTTGCTGAAAAGAAAAAGCTAAAATCAGCTGTGCTTCAATGGGATAACTGTTGCAGAAGAAAAAAAGCTAAAATCAGTTGAATATGCTTTAATGGGATAACTGTTGCAGAAGAAAAAAGCTAAAATCAGTTGAATGTGCTTTAATGGGATAACTGTTGCAGAAAAAAAAGCTAAAATCAGTTGTGCTTCAGTGAGCTTGAACCAATGGATAACTGACTTAACTCAGTTTGGTGCTTATACTAAATGTTCTCCAGAAAGGAATCTGCTCATGGATGGTGCTATTTGATAACAAATTATATTCTGACTGGTGAAAGAGACAGCAATGAAGGAATATTAATTCGCCAGTTGTTGTCTTTTTCACAGGTCACTATGCTAAAATTGAACCAATTGTTGCCCCCCCCCCCCCCATCTTAATCTTCTTGTTTTTTGTGTCTCTTCTGTATTTACTACACCTGCCCTCCATATTCGCACTGGCTAGCTATTACTTAGGTTATTTTCACTACTGCTGTTCATCACTGCGACAATTGCTAGATCATGTTTACTTAGGTTATTGTTTGTTCAAGCATGTCCATTCTAAAACTATTTTTTTCTCTCATTTCAATGTTGTGGTTGAATTTGCTTTCTTCTCTGCTTCCTTCCTTTCTTTGCCATAAATACCATGACATTATTTGTATTAACCTAACAGCATAGTCATTGATAATAACCTTCTCTTGTCAGGGTTGAATTCTGTAGTGGATGTCAGTCAAAGAATACCCACTGCACCAACAGAGTGTCAATACCAGAGACCAAAGACAAAGTTGACAGTGATAAAACAGTGTCTCATTATCATGTTGAGGCTTCAGTCACCCAGACAGGTCCTGTACATGGAGTGGTCATGTGGTGGTCTTTAGATATGGACATGAATGGTGAAATTATCTTGTCAACTGCTCCACGCTGGGTACACCCTGATGGCCACAAAAGACAGGTGTTTAGAAAGTGTTGTTTTTACTTAACCCTTTAACCCCTAAGAGTGACTAGCATCTAATTTCTCCTTACAATATCACCACTGAATCACACATTTAAGTCATGAGAATAAAGGAAATGATCACCAACGAAAGAAACTGTAGATTGTTAGACAAATTCTCCTTATCAGTGCTTTAGTAAATGTATGAAGAACTGTATGGAGAAGATGAATACTGATGTTAGGGTGTAAAAGGTTAACCTTTCCTATTCTCAGATTTGAAAACTAATTCTCCTAACCAATACTGCATGTTACTTTGTTGGATGTTCTTGAGAGTTTATTATGTCTGGCAATTTCCCCCTAAGAAGATAAGTTCTGTTGATTCAAAGATTGGAGAGAGGGTGGTATTTAGTTGACATATATCATCTATTACTATTTTTTCAAATGAAATTAATTATGGGTTTCCTTTCTTGTTTTGTTTGATAGTGGAGAGATCATTGGATGCAGGCTGTCTATTTCTTAAAGACACCGTTGGCCATGCAAGAAGGTGCCAGATTTGAAAAATTTGAAATCTGATAATTTAACAGCACTTACATTATCTTTTAAAAGGGTTTAATGACATTAATGGTAAAAACCCTCAGCAAATTAGTTGTTGTACTCCAAAAAATTGAGAAGAATGGGACAAATTTTTGATCAACTGAAATTTCTCCCCCACAGGTGACAAAATAAATGTTCACTGTTACCATGATGACTACAGCATTTGGTTCGATGTCACACCAGTGAATAGGTATGTCCAACACATAGTGGCAGAGTTAAACTACTTCAAACCCTCTCATTTCATAGGGAGCTCAATTTATGGAGGGGTCTATTTGTAAGTGTTTACATATTATCTTCATGCTCTATCAAGCCTCTCTTTAAGAGGTATTTGTTCACAAGGTTTCAGTAGGTTTACTAATTTATCAAACAGGTTCACTCTGGATTGTGAATTTGTCATATTTGTATTCCCTGTAGTTTTGTACATCTAGACCCTGGAAAAGAAACTAATCATTATAACTGGGGCAAAAGGTATATAATGTTTGAGAGCAACGTTGACCTCATTAGCCTTATTATGCAAAGATCTGAGTTTTACTATGTTATTAATTGTGTGACGTATTAATGTTTTGTGTATTCAGAATTGTAACAACAGTTGATCGTCCACTCTGCACGTGTGGTGCCCATGTCACCTGGAGTCGTCACAGATTTGCTATGTTGAATGACAGGCAAAGATCACAGGCTTTTAAAGAGGCATTGAGACAGGTTACAAATTAGTTCTTTGAACCTCTTAAACAAGTACTTTAAGTCTTGTGCCCTAACCCCCCCCCCTTCCTCCCCCCCTCCCTCCCTCCCTCCTTATGGAGTTGAATCCTTAATTATACAGGTCATTGGTCTCTTAGTCAAATTGGTAAATTGCATTGGGAATCTGGACAGGCCCACTGGGTGATACAATTTGTTTAAAGACATATTGAAGACAGATGCTCAGTGTAGTAAACTCACATTCTTGAAGTTCTGCTCTGATCTTAAGCTGGCCTCAAGCTGGATTTGTCTCTAGTTCAACAACTCCATTTCACTACAAAATTAACCTACTGGTAAATGTTTTGCCTCTTGCCAGTTCAAGGTTTGGTTTATTATTATGTGATAATTTTAGAGGAGTTCCTGTAAACCAAGTAAAAACAGCTACGTCCTACGTGCATTTCCACTGTATTAACCAGATGATCCTCCCACTTTTACCCATTCCATACATATGTTGCAGGGGAGTCTACTAAATAGAAATTGAAGGATAAATCTAATAAGATCAGTTACCAACAAGATGTTTATTTTTTTGCCAGTTGGTTGCAGAGGGTCATTCTAGATGTTTGTGTATCAGTGATGGGTCACTGCTTCCTGTCATGGCAGCTAAACTCGGTTTTGAGAAGGTAATTAAAGCAATTAAACAGTGAATTATGAAATGTCACCCAAAACAAAAAACGTGGATGTAGATCAAAAATGAACTGGTGATGAAGTAGTAATTACCTGTGTCTGTCTTGTAGGTCATTACAGTAGAGTCATCAGTATTATTTCAAAAGCTTCTAAAGAAGGTGAGTTGGAGCTGTTTTTATTGTTAAGGAGGTCTCAAAATCTCCCCTATCTTAGTTGACTGATATATTCTGTTTTGGCTTATTTTGAAAATGCTAAGCTGGGTTGGTACACGAAATTAGCAATATCTTTATCTTTTTGCTGTGCTGCTGTAACTTTGATTTCCTCAAACTCAGTCAAACCAATCCCTTTACTTCCTGTTGTGTTTCACATATTTACATATGGCTTAATTGTTTTGTTCAGTTTACTTAAAATAACCCACTACACCCTAACATCAGTATTTATATTCTCCATACTATTTACAATTTATGTCCTAAGGTGCTGACAAAGAGAATTTGTTTTAAAAATCTAGAGCTTCTGTGGTTGGTGATCATTTCCTGTATTCTCGTGATCTTCATGTTTGATTCAGGGGTGTTCCTACAGGGAGAAATTAGATGCTAGTAGCTCCAAGGAGTTAAAAGGTTAAGAAAAGTAACAACAGCAAGGAAATAACTGACTGTTTACCTCCCCCTTGTGGAGGCGCGGTGGCCTCATGGTTAGTGCGCTCGACTCCGGATCTGGTGGTCCGGGTTCAAGCCCTAGCCAGGGTCATTGTGTTGTGTTCTTAGGCAAGACACTTTACTCTCACAGTGCTCCTCTTCACCCAGGTGTACAAATGGGTACCAGAAAATGTGCTGGGGGTAACCCTGCGATGGACGAGCACTAGAAAACCGGAGTTAAGCACCGGCCCCATGGGCCACTTGGGCCCGTATAAAGGCTTACTTACCTCCCCCATTACATTTATTTCTCCCCAATGGCGTCTCACTGAATCGTTACACCCTTTCACCATCTCGTTTTTCTTTCTTTGTCAGATTATGGATTTAAATGGAATAGCTGACAAAATAGAGATTCTTAGTCAAGAAGAGTCAGATCTGCAGATTAGGGACTTATCAACTGTCCAGGTAAATTGAAATAAATATGATCACGTATCATGCACAGACAAGAAAAAAAATCATATTTAATGGTAATTGTTTTTTCCTGTCGTGGACGTGAATGTATTTGTTTAACCGTTGAAGTTTTTTAGCTTTTCATCCAAAAGCCGGGTTTAAGTGCCAGTGTTTCAACATTTACATACTGACAGTTGTATAGCCCCTACTGGGTTCTTAGGCAGAGAAAAAGACCGAAAAAGCCAGCAAAAACACGTGAGAAAAATTGCGGAATTTGTAAAAGAAAAGAAAACTTAAAAAAAAAGACGACGCATTATTTTACTATCAGGATCTCACAAAGTCCTTCGAGATATTGATCCAGCTTGTTACTCAGACGCTCTCCGTAGAAAGCTCGGCTTAAAAATTCGGGTCAAGCGCGGCCAGTTATTACAAATCGTCGTAGAGGCTTATGAGCGCCTGAGTAAGTCCGAGTTTCTCACGTGTAGGCTTCAAGAACTAGTTGAAAAGCATGTGATAACATTCTTTTAAAGGGATGACATTTTGCACATGCTTCTCAAATGGTTTTCACATGACTTTCACAATGCGAGGTTCACGTGAGAGAAGTGTGAATACTGTATCAAGACTGAGCTTAGATTTTACCAATGCGAGTGCATGAGTACATGCACGCACATTACATGCGTCTAGTTTATTCAAGTAGTTTGGAAGCTGGCAATTTCTTTTTTTTTTGCGCCAAAAAAATATGAACGAATGAATGAAAAGTTAGACAGCGTCTGGCCAATTTGAGCGAGCGAGATTAATCAAAAGGATTTAGTATTGGCAAAAAGACAAAACTATAGAAAGAAATTCCTGAAACTCGCTGCGGCCTTCATTGAGTTTATCGTCTTCAAAATATTTTTTGTGATCCTACTACTGTGAAAACATTTTCTTACAACAGGAAATGATGGAATAATTAAACTGGTCACAATTTTTACTTTTTCCTACGGAATCTCAAAGCGGGCGAGCGGGTAGACATTTAGAACACAGGAATCATTTCATCTTGCCTACTCGCGGAGAAAGCCACACCATAAAATCATTTTTATAGCCAGTGGCAAGATATTAATGATTTGTTGTAGATGTCTACAATAATTATTCCGTGCTGTTGTAGCAGTTTACAAGAATCCTTTTGATGTCTGTGTATACTCTTTTCAGGTTGATGTTATTATAGGTGAGCCGTTTTTTACAAGTTGCCTGTTTCCGTGGCACAATCTATATTTCTGGTACGCGGCAGCCAGTGCCGCTAGAGTAAGCAAACCAGCAGTCAAGATATTACCTAAGGGTGCAACTTTGAAGGCAATAGCAGGTGGGTTAATGGAAATTACCAAAAGATATTGGCAAAAATTTTAAGTCTCGTATGTTTCATTCAATCCTTTTGTTTCATTTGTTTGTGTGAGGTAAGGTTAGTCACTGAATAAGTGCTTGCACATACTGTAACCAGCCCAAAATTTATTTCTCTTTTGTGGTTAAATCGAAACAATTCACAAAGAGTTGTCAGGGAAGAGTACAAGAGGTTTGAGGGGGATGCGTCGGGTGTTCTATGCTCGTAGTTTTTACACGGTTTCGTTTTAGTTTCTCTTTCCGCGGCATGTAACTAGACACTCACCAAAGTATTTTAGATTTTTGTTTTGTAGAGAAGATTACCTACAATATATAATCGGTTCACTTTCTTTCTGAGCTACCAACCTCAAAGAGCACAACCCTTGTTCAGGAATTTTACCTTTTAACTTTTTTAGTGGAGTTTGATGACCTTTGGAAATTTCATGCCCCTGTGAATATCGTGGAAGGATTTGATATCTCACTGTTTGACGAACTAATAGAGGTAAAATAGACTTAATAAACTTTTGCATTCGCATTAAGTCATAAGTTAGATTGCCATTTGAAATTTTCAATGCATCAAAGGGAGAAATTGATATCTCCATGTGCGAAATCGCATCCTGATCGAAGAGAAAAGGAACTGAGACTTCACTGCCTTTCATTTTATTATCGCAGTGAGCCATTTCAGAAACACAGATAACTTAAGTCTTGCGGTTAACGGAAATGTATATAATTTTACCTCGTTTCTCGAGTTCTAAGAAGCTACACGTGTGGCATCTTAACACGCTAGTCTCATTTCATCCAAGATGTCACGCAAGAAACACGTGCGTGTCACAGACATTCTTTTCTCGTGTGCGCGTGAATTCTCGTTCCCCTTATCTAAATCGCTCGCGCTCTGTTTGATCAAGTGCCAGTTGGGCAGGCTAACCAGAGCCAGTTCGACTATCGATTGTTGTCTTTCAGGGATCAAAACTTACAAATGAAGAAATCAACAGTGAAAGTAGTGATGGGATAGCACTGGAGCCTCATCACTTGTGGGAGTATCCGTGCCATCCTCTAACTCAGGAATTCACCCTAATGGAATTTGACTTCACTTCAAATATACCAAGCCAGAAAATGGCAAGCAAAGGAGAGGCGAAACTTACGAGGTTATTAAACAGCTACGGTTATTTACCAGTTTGGAGTTCTGTTAACCCTATAAACCCTAACATCAGTATGCCTATTCTCCATATTGTTCCCTATACATTTATTAAGGAGCTGACGAGGAGAATTTGGTTAACAATCAGGAGCTTCTTTAGTTGGTGATCATTTCCTTCAATCTTGTGACCTCAAAGTTTGATTTAGGCGCTGATATTGTAAGGAGAAATTAGATGCTAGTCACTCTAAGGGAACACAGGGTCGATATTGTCCACATCTGTGTGCACCAAATTGTGTTTCACGCCCCTTCAGTATGGCTGTCATTCATTCATGTGTAATGTTACTCCTATGAGCAGTGTTTAAGATCAAACACGAATTAAGGTAGGCAGTTCACGGTGGGTTAAAATCAACGCACTGTCTGATTTTTACCATTTTGATGGAAAAAACAAACAGACAAACAAACATACAAAAGATACATGAAAACATCGTTGTACTTAAGTGGGTACAAAGAGGGAAAATTTCACGATGCAGAGACTGAGAGCTGATTTGACGAAAGAAGGATGACTACTTCCTGTCAGTAACAATTATATACTTTCGAACATCCAAAATTTCCCAGTTGTAAATTTATTCAGGGTCTGTGTCTCTGTTATTAGGCCTGGTACTTTTCATGGTGTAGCAATCTGGATGGACTTCCACCTCAGTGATAAATTAACCGTTACTACAGGATTACAACAGGTGAGACATGACTAAATCATTATTTCCTTTATTTTTTACGAAACATTAATTTCATTTGTTTGAGTTAAGAGATTTTGACTGAGTGTGCCATAGCAAAAAATTCTAAGTAATCACATCAGCCGATTACGACAAAGGGTAACATAGAAAATTAAAAGAGAACTCACAGCAGAAACATCTAACCACAAACGTCAGAAAACTCGAGTGGCCAAGTCGTGTTTGGCTCTAGTTTTGCATCTGATTGGTCAATTGAAAAAGTGGCGTGTTATTTTCAGGCCAATCAGAGAGCATTGTAAAGCAAAAGCAATGCAAAACCAGAATTCTTCCGACACCCCTGGAAAGTTTCTCTGTTTGGTTAAATTGGTTTTGTTTGTTCAAATACATGATTGATCCATCGATTTCTTCTTTGCTTACAGAAACAAGATGGTGCAGAAGAGATGTCCAAATTAAACTGGGTTCGCCACACAAAGCAAGGAGTATACTTTGTGAAGTCGCCAACTAAGATTCACGATTTAACTCTTGCAAATGAAAACACTTCTTGTATGAGCTATGATGTCAGTTTTGAACCAAGCACGGGAGAAATAGATTTTAACTTTCAGTTACAGACAAGCTAACGAAGGAATAACGTTACAGGCGTAGAAAAAGTCTCTCAAAAGCGTCTATCTTGTTGGAGTTCTTGGAAAGACAGTACTGCAAGACAGTTCTTGTTATGTTAGGGTTTGGGCAGCCCATTTTCATCAAGAAGGCTATGTTCTTCGCCCAGTTCACTTGGGCCACTGCCAACCTAAGAGAGAAATATCACTAAATAATAATAATTCATTACTGTCACACTGAGTTACAAAACACACACTTTCGCGACACGGGAGAGTTCATATGCTTATGCACTTAGAGCACGATTTCTCCCTTTGTATTCGCTTGTGTTCGGGGCTTTCACTAAAATTGAAAGTTTGTCACCAAACATTGCTTATAGCTGATCTGTGACGAGATACTGTTTTTAATGAAAAAACGTGGAGTTGTAACCAATTCCTTTACGCGGAGAGAAATGAGAAAGCAACAGGCAAACTTTGGCTTCCTAGGAGTGTGCCGCGCCGTGCTATCAGAATGGTTCAGTTTGTCAAAGATGAAGAACAAAGGATTACATGCTCACCTTTGTTGAAATAACGTACTTTACAGCTCCTGGAGATGGTTCAATAGTAATCGACTTCAAAAGATTCTGCAAACCGAAAAAAAAATTTGTGAGCTTAACCCTGGATTAAAACTCGAGGGATGTTTACCTTAAGTGGGAGTTTGTGATATCAGGAGCATGTAATCTCTGTGCTACCCTTCACACGACAAATACATCACACCTTGTTTAAATCAGTTTGAGATTTTACTTCCATTCCTTGAATAAATCTATAAATGGAAAAATAGATGTTAGAAAACGCACGCAAAGGTTGAAAACCAAACACTGTGAGAACAGGGCGACCAAACTGCAACTACGCGTGTTCCACGAAGCGCCAAACTTCGCAGCATCAGTTGGAAATCCACTGACCTTAGTGGGGTGCGGCGGATTAAGTATTCCCTGGTTGGAAAAACCTTGGTGTGCAACTCGTGAAGGCACTTTTTTTTCAAAAAGAATCTCCTCGCCAGGGCAGCGCGGAAAATGTGTTGCAAGGACACCGGACAAATACGCCTAAGAGTAACGATGATGGACAAGCAACTCGTCAGCCTCGTTCCAAAGCTCTCGGTCAGTTTTCAGGATAAAATACCTCTCAACCTTAAAAATCAACCGCCATCTTGGAAAAACAATTGGACCGAGAAACACCTGGGGCTGAGGTTAGCATCTCAAATGGAGAGAGAGTGCGAACAGAAAAATCACTAATGAAATACTCCCAAGCTCCGCTTTGCAAAGTAAGACGTAACAAGCTCAGAACTGTTATTCCAGATGGCTAATTTATCGTTTTCTCTGTCACTCATCTGGTTTACTTACCCTCTGTCGGTTTCTGGAGGAAAGAAGTGTCTAATAAGCGACGAAATTTCTGCAATATCTTTTTCCATTACAAACAAGAACGCGTTGGGTCCGGCATCAAATGTGTAGGCAACCTAATGACGCGGAGAATACAACAGAGTCCGTCAATAGTACTTGGTGTGGTTTGATCCGTGCTTCACTAAATCAGACCTTGTATCTGCTTCTGTTCAGAGATGCAATCTGAAGTTTTCCAGTTAAACAGCCTAGTTATTTTATTTTAGTCTGAAACCAAAGGATTTCGATACGAGGCAGTTTGAGAATGTGGTGAAAGACTCTCGGGATAGATTTAGAGCCACGCCCACCGCAAACACGATTGGCCAATTCTAATTGCTATGCAGATAAAAGGACAAAAGAGCAAATATTGCGTGCACGGTAGAAGGCACACCGCGTGAGTTCGATTGACGTTAACGCAAAAGGAGTTTAAGGTGATTCTTATAATCTCTGATGTGCGGTTATGTTTTCTACGCAGTAGGATTCAAAGAGACCTAAATAGTCCTTCAAGTAAAACACAAAAACGTCTCAAGCAGCAACACTTGTAGAATGCAAAAATGGAAAATTGATCACACGCTAACCAAAAGTTTTATTACCTTAAGTTGACCACAGAAGTTGTTGTACAGGGTGACCAGCTGAACTATACTGTGTGAGGTCTGATTCATGTATGGTGGTGCGATGGGAGGGTAGGTGTCCTGGCACACTGCATGCAGCTGATTGCTTTCCTACACAAGAACAAAATTATGCCTTGAAACGTTCTCGTAGACTGAACACATTCCACATGTGAGCACTAATTAACCAACTATGTTGAAACGTTCACATTCAACGCAGAATTCCGCGGAGGTTTCTCTCTTAGTATGCAATGGAAAAGTCCCGCAACGCCACGATGGTAGAGAGAGTAATTTGGTATTATCAACAGAGTTTATAACGTAAATTGGCCACCGTTAAGAGTTTAAAAGCTGACGTTTCGAGCGTTAGCCCCTCGTCAGAGAGATTGGATTGGATTTAAATGTCAGCTTTTTAACTCTTTACGGTGGCCAATTTACGTTATCAACTCAGTTGATAATACTAAATTACCCTGTTATACTCTCCCACCGACGCAGCACCACAGTTTCTTTAGAAACTTACCACCTTTATTCAGGTAGTAATGAGAGCTCTTTTCCCATCGCGTGACACAGCAAAGAATAACCGAAAAAGAATTTAAACAATCAGAACAAAAACTATTACCTTCATTGTAGTTTCTGCAAATGTCTCAAAATCTCTCTCCGAGATTGCTTTCTTCATTATCTTCATTCTCTCAGGAACACAAAACTCAGATCTAAACTGGTAAAGAGCCCAAAATGTGTAAACGTGTTGGTATACGTCAAATGGTTGCAAAACCACCACAGTGGTACTAAACTGTGGCTTTCGTGAGGCTAAAATGACATCTACGACCTCCAAGATGAGATCCTCGTTGATTTGGGGCCTTTATACGAATTCTCTTTTCTAACTGCTGTACACCGTTCATTGAAAAGGCAAACGTTACACAAATGTTGGCTATACCCCAACTGAGGCGTGAAAACTTGTCAGGGCGTACCTTAAGTAAATCACTGGTTTCTACACTTCTTTTCATTCCATCAGTACTACTTGTGCCTTTTTTGTGTTCATTGACCTAGAAGTGAGACAAGGATGTATATCAGTTGCGCCAAGTAGCTTCTTTTTCTGCTCTCTAATAAGAATGTGTTACGTTCCTTTAACATCTCAGGTTGGTGTCAAACAAAGACTGATATCCTAAGGCAAAAAGCTGAAGTGTATATTTAAATAGCACAAGAAGACGATGGACGCTTAAGGATCCAAAATTCCTGTGGAGGCAAAAAGCAATGTCTGAAATCTGTAAAGAGCGCAAAAAATTCTTGGATCCATTTTATTTTGTTCGAGAATATGATGACTGACCTCAAGTGCAGTTTAGCTCGTTTTGCCAATAAGTATGAGGTACTTAGTAATCAATAATCCTCGTTTAGGGAATTGTATCATTGATTTTCAACTATCGTAATGTAGTGTCAAATTGTCTCTCTGTCAATGGTCTTACCACCAGAATAAGCACCCTTAGACCTGGCCAATGATCTTCGGTAGCAATCTGAGAAACAAAACCAAGATTTTCTATATATTTCTGGAACTTTAAATACTGAAGTTCATGCTTGACCTTGAGCGTGTCATTGTGCCATTATTAAAACGTTTTTGCTTAGCCTGTTGTGTATATCAATACCGGTGATTTCTACAAGGTGTGGATGTAAGAACAATAACTATGTAACAAACCTCAAATAAATCGTGATCTGTGACTCGAAATTTTGAATTGCAATGTACCCTACACACCAACATATACCACACAACTCTTTTCCCAAAATTTTGCTAACAAGTCAGGGGAGTGGCTCATCTACAAAATATCATAAAAAGCTTGCAATCTGGTGAAAGCATATATCGCATTTATGGCAAGTTTTTTTTTCTAAAACCCCAATAACCTTTGTGTAAGACCATTTTCCAATTTCTCTCAAACTGTTGGATGCATGTTTTTTAATCTCTTCAATGTCTTATTGTAAACCAATATCTTATGAAAATTTCTTTGTAAATTTCTTTGTTTGGACCAAGGGGTAATAAACAAACAATGATATGATTACCTGTTTAGCAATGCTGTCTGATCCATCCTCTGCATCACCTTTTTCCCACTCAACAAACCCTCCATACATACTGCGGCAAGCACTTCCTGACCCCTGCCTATAACATCACAATAAAAACGAAAAAGGGAGACAAACAAGCAATAAAAAAATCAGCCATCAGAATATGTCATGCCCTTCAGTCTTTTGGCGTTTCTTGAGTTCTCAATAAAACCATTCTCTGTAAAGTTTATGGTGGTGACTTCATCTACTCATGAAAGTACACATCATTATTGTTGTTTCTTTCTGTTAGTGGAGGAGGTTCAGTTATCTCACCTTGCTATTCTTGAAAGATCACCCTTAACTTGAAGTAATCTTGACAGAGCAAAAACTGTGTACAAAAATTACCATCACTATAATAAAATTGGAATGTATACATACTGACATTCAAAGCTACACAACTTTTTGTGAAAATTGGAAAGTCTGAATGTGTGTGTGTGTGTGTGTGTGTGTGTGTGTGTAAGAGTACATCAACTTCATTTTTCTGCTAATTGAAAGAGTACCTGGAGGCTAACATTGAATAAGCATAATTCTTAACCCCTAAGAGTGATGTGCATCTAATTTCTCCATACCCCATCCCTGACTCACACATTAAGGTCAAAAGAATAAAGGAAATTATCACCAACTGAAAAAACTCTTGGTGTGAAACAAGTTCTCCTCGTCAGCACCCTTGAAAATGTATAGAGAACAGTATGGAGAATATGTATACTGATGTTAGGATGTCAAGAGTTGATGGTTTTAACACTGAAATCAACATCAGGAGGTCAAAGTTTGAGCCCTTGTAGGATCATTGTGCATGCTTTTTTCATCTCACTGTGCCTTCCTAAACTCAAGAGTATAATAAGTCTCCTGTCTCAAAAGATCAAACCTTTGTGTGTGTAAATTTACATGTAGGATTCCTCTTTTTCTACCTAGGCAGGAATATCCAGCAGCAGATGAAGCCAGGCCTGCAGCAGTAGGGAAGTTGTTCTGTGAGCAAATGTGAATACAGCAGTCCTTAAGAGACTCATTGTGTGACAGTTTCCTCACTGAAAAAGAAAATGATGTGACTTTTATAGCAGTGTTGATCAAGACATCCTCCATTTGAGACTGAACAGATACGAATAAAGTTTCTCTGACTAAAATTTATTCTAAGAAAAGAGTAGATTAATTCTAAAACTTCCAATTTTCAAAATATGTTATACCATAAATAAAAAAGATAGTTATCATAATTGGATAATAAATTCATTCATTTGATTGCATAAAAAAAAAATCCAATGGTGACTAAATCAAACCAGAACTCACTTGTTGCTAGACACTTTTGAATCCGTGGCATTTCAGCAATTTTATGCTTCCTGAGTGAGAGGGAAAAAGTGAGTTACATGCATGTGCCCTGGAAATTATAATTCATCTTGATCTCCTTTTTCTTATTGTACAATAATACTATATTTAGGGTACATTTTTGGAATGTGGCCTTGAGTTTCAAAACTGCTGTATAAATGTATTAAAAAATTTTGTTTATCATTGGTGGAAGACTTACATGTAATAAAGCTTGGTATCTAATACCCCAAAATAAAAATAAAAATGAGAATTTAACTCAATATCAATAAAACTCAATATTCCTTTTGTAAGGATATCAGAGTCTTACTGCTAACAGGATGTTTTAAAATTCCTATACAACGAGTCTTGATACAAATCTCATCTGGTATTATATGCTACCAAACCTTCCATTGAGCCAAATACAATCTTCAGAAAAATCCTCACTAACTGCAACAGTTGTAGAAGAATGGAGCTAAAGTAAGAACAAACCACAGATTACAATTACTAATCTTCATCTTGATCTTGGTCTTTAACTTGTTGGTACAAAATTGTTTATCTATTTTATTCTTAGTGTAGGTGCTGGGGTGAAAATATCTTTTGGCATGGGTTAATAAATGCTGTGGTGTACATGTTGTGAGTCCCTCATCGGTTTGAGTTATGTTCACCTGACTTACTACCATTAGCCTTGTTCCACTTCCTCAAAACATCAACTTTTCAAACTTGGCGACTGCGGTTTATCATTCATATTAACTCCTTGACGATAAACAACAAGGTTTTTTCTTAAATCCCTGTCAACACAGCACATATGTTTCTAAAGAAACTATAAAATTTGGTCATGTTGATTTTTTTCCTGACCACACTATACTATGAAAGGGGACAAGCTTGATATTGACGTTTATGCTGGTGTTTTCAGTTATAGACAGTTTATGTGACCCGACCACTTTTGAAAACAACAAAAATATTCGAAATTTACGTTACCTCTTTCTTATCAAGAGTTACACTTAGTGAAGAATTCAAAGGTAGAATAAGCTGTTCATTTCTTTTTCCCCCTGCAACATAAAATTTTTTTTCACATTTCAGTCTTTATCGTTTTTGTTTTACAGGAAATAAGTATAGAATTTTTTTCAGCATCTGAAAGCTATCTGTAAATTAATTATATCTCACTTACAGTATTTTATGATGGCAATATTGACTGGGGCTTGACAAGTAACCATGTTAACACCATCAGACTTCTTAATCCGTTTTGCGCAAATTTCGTCCGCCATCTTAGATGAATCTCGGTTGGTACTGGAAATAGTATTCACCACGTCATGTAAGAGTGTTTCCCGGCTCTCTATCCATAAGTTATATTATGAAGGGGCCTACCTTTGTCTTCAGTATAAATCACCCTCAATGATTATATAGTTGGATAGAGAAGACCAAAAAACTTTAAAAAGTTAATAGAAAAAACCTATGGCATTAACATACGGATCCGTGGGTTAGAAAGTCCTGCGGGTCCTACCGATCGGCGGGAAAAGGGCGCGGGATTGAGGCACCGAAATTCTCAAGGTCAAGATCACGAGATTTAAGGTAGGGGATTCATTTCGTCGACAATCCCTCCTCTACGGATACTATCGCAAAACTTTCTCACTTCTTCGTTAGATCTTGTCATCTTCCACCGCAACGAAGTTACTATTTCACCATTTCTCTCGCCTAAGAAACGTAAAATGGCGCAAGAATTGATGTGGAAATTACGTCATATGCACAATTGATCACCACCCTTCCATTCTCTAACGAAGTTTACTGCGCCAATTGCCGGTCTACTTCAATCGTGCGACTTTTCGGTAGACCACACTCAACATTATTTATAATTCATTATTAGGGAGAGCAAGCGTTTGACATCCTTCATTAACTCGAGAGCTCTAAAATTCTACTCCACCGGCGGAAGGAAATTCGGTGGTTGCGTAAATCTTGATCCAGTCTGCGGGAGACCGGTTTTTCAGATTTACCGGCTGAACTGGATTCATTGTCGATTCACGTGCAGATTTGTTAAATATAGAAACTACTATTCTGAAGCCAAAATAGTTACCAGTGAACACGAAACGTTGATTGCAGGGTATTCACTTTTCACAAGGAGTCCTAAGAATTCGTGAGCCCAAAGAATATGACCCACAGCCTCGATTTGTCGGAACAACAAGCCCTTCTTGACAAAAGGAACCTACAAGGAAGTCGTTATGAAAGCCCATACTACAGTGGTAGTGAAGTAACTATGCTTAATCAGCCAGGTGCAACAAGTGATTTAGACACTACCTCCAGTGCTGGTGTGTTTAAATCTCGTTCAGTAATCCAACGACCGGGTGAGAATCATTACGCGGAGGGTTTACCTATTTGGAGAGCAGCTCTTTTGGTGGTAAATTCAGCTCTTGGTGCTGGAATTTTGAACTTTCCCCAAGCATATGCGCAATGTGGAGGCATTACCACCGCTCTTACTGCTCAAATGGTGGGTATTATGTCATTAGTAAGAAAAAGAAACGACTTAATCACATATGAAGACCCATGAACTAGACCTTCTTGGTGCAGGGTTATTGGTTAAATTTCCGCACAGCCCCATACTACATTATGCATTCAGTTCTTGAAAAGAAAAAACAATGACAAAAACAATACATCGCCATTGGGAAAACAAATTTTGTTTTACAATAGTATGGGGCTGTGCGGAAATTTTATCAGGTTATTTGTAACAAATCAGCATGCTATCATTTTCTTATTAGATTGAAACACCCCTCTACTGAGAAGATTATCTCTGATTTATTTCTCAAAGGGAAATATATTTTTCCTTCGTCCTACACGATTTTTTTTCTAGGTAATTAAGCTCAAAAGTTATCATCTTCCCTATAGTATTGCCGCAAACAGTGCTTTCTAAAGTGCTGATCCGGTGTGTGTTTTACATATGAACCTAAAATTGGCCTAGCCCAACATGAAGTTTCTTTGTAACTCAGAGGGTAGGATCTGATGGCTTAGGGTTCTATTCCTGTGTGAAACTCAAATTTTTGCTAATTTCCATTTAAGTGATGTGACAAACAACATCTTCCCATATTATCACTGTTGTTGCGGTAGCCGGCCCTCGCAGCTAGTTTTAGTTATACCAAGGTCAGAATAAGATGACAAGTAAATGACCTGTGGACTTTTGTTAACCATTAACACCCTAACATTAGTATATATATATTCTCCATACTGTTCTCCATATATTTCCTAAGGTGCTGGCAGGGAGAATTTGTTAAACAATCAAGAGTTTCTTCAGTTGGTGATCATTTCCTTATATTCTCATTACCTCAAAATGTGATTCATGGTTGATATTATAAGAGAAATTAGATGCTAGTTACTCTTAAGAGCCAAGCTGTTCAATTTCCTTTCAGTTTGTAAATTTCTAATTGATGGTGAACCAGAATTTTTGTAATACAACATTTATTTTTTTATCTTTCACAGTCTTTATTGGTGTTTATTACTGGAGCATTCCTGATCCTAGCATATTGTGCCGAAAATCATGGCTCCCAGAATTTTCAAGAGATAATCCGTGAAGTACTTGGTCCAGGGGCATACATTTTAACACAGATAGTCATTATGTTATACATGTATGGTTCTACTGTGGCATATATGATTTTGATTGGTGATCAACTGGAGAAAGGCAAGTAAAGTGATATGTCACCTCCGAGTTATAATTGATTTCCTCTTTTATGGTTGTCATGGCCTTAAGCATGGTTTTTATCCTCTCACCAGACATCTAACAAAATTGTTCAGTGATCTGATCATAACGCTGGGCACAAGTGCACACTTATTTTTACTAGGAAATGTTTTTGTGGTGGGAGACATGGACACCAGGCTGAAAACAGTTAATGCATTGTGTTGAGATGTTGGTTCTCAGGACCTTATTTATAAGATTTGGTCAAAATCCTAGCCTACCAAAAGCAACTTTTATTGGCACCAGTGATTTAAAAAAGGTTTCTATGGAGACCCAAACTTATTGTACAACATGCAGCAAACTTCACACAAGTTTTACCACTTTAGTTACAAACGTACCCAATACAGATATTCTACATATCTACCAGAAAATACGTATGTGTACTTTAATCAATTCTTACAGAAGTTGAGTTTTTCTCAAGATAAAACCCCTTTTATTTAGTGGTGTAATGTACAGCATGCAGGATAGAGCATGCACTATAGAGCTTAATGATACACTTTCTATTCTATGTTTATAGTTGGAGAGGCTATTGACTCTACTCCTGGCTGGTATTTAAGTCGCGAATTTCTCATGTGTGCAATGTGCATTCTCTTTCTCTTACCACTATGTCTTCCAAAAACTTTGAAAGTTCTTAGTTATTCAAGGTGTGTTGATTATAACAATCATGACCCAGTTGTTCTAAGGGTGGATAACACTATCTGAGGGATAAATCACTCTCCAGTATATGTGGTGGGAGACAAGGACACCAGGCTAGAGATTTGTCCTGTGTATAGCTTTATGCACACTTTAAACAACTGGGGGCCATGAGTTCTTCTAAATAAATAATTTATGATCTAAGTGAACATTGTGCCACTTGAGCCTCGGATTTCTTGTGCTTTCTGATCTCTGGAACTTGAAGTAGTGTCCCACTGACCACTAAAAGAACTGAGAGGCAAGAAGCATTTGTAAAATATTTCTTACGTGTACAAAACTCATATAAATACAATTGTTAGGTCCATGACCAGAATTTTTTTTGCATCTTTCCCTTTCACATTTTTCATGATTTTCCTATCAACTCAAATTGTTCTGTGAAGCAATAGTTTTAAGGCATGAGACTATACTTTTTTTTTGCTCCTTTAAATTAAAGTAATATTGACAAACTGTCAAAATGCTCTAGAGCTTCACTTGAACTTGGCAAGTTTGCTTTCAATCAGTTCTGAGCTTAGAACATGTACTATGATTCAGTGGTATTATTTGTTCACATTTTTTGCTGACCTGTTGATAAATTATTTTCAGTGCTCTTGGAACAGTTGGGGCACTTTTTGTTTGCATAGTAACTGCAATAAAATACTTTGATGGACATCACACTGATAGTAAAGACTATGTAGAGTAAGTACCCCTAAGAAGAGCAATTCTCAATTGCATGTCAAAAGTAAACCAAGAGTTTTTTGTCTTTTTTGTATTAATGTGATTTAGTCTGTGATTGGTTTACGAAACACTGTCCATCCTTATAACCAATCAGATGTAAAACGAATGCGCAGATTCTCCTGCATTTTTTAAGGTTTGCCTGTTTTACTTTAACCCTTTAACTCCCAGATCAAATTTGTTGTTGTTCTTACCATTAAGCATACAATTCTTATAATGTTAGTTCAGAGAATTTAGTATTGAATCAACATATCGTCACCAAATTGATCTTTTCTTTATTCTCATCACTTATCTGGTTGATGTTGTATTGATATTGTAAGGAGAAATTCTGTCTTGGTCACTTATGGGAATTAAAGGGTTTAATGCTCATTGGCTAACGATAATGTAAACCTTTGTAATGATTAGTTAGGTTTGGATTTTCAATAGTCTATTGAAAACTGCTCTGATCATTTTAACAGTTGGATTGATGACATATACAATCTTGGCATGCACCTTTCCTGTAGTGGCTAAGTGTACAATTCTGTTTTCATTCCTTAGGATTGAGGAATCTTGGAATTGGACTCAGGCTTTTGCTGCTATTCCTATAATTTGCTTTGGTTTTCAGGTTTGTATCATTTTTATTTTTGATTTGGTGTATATACATATTCAAATATACATTGATTGTTTATGTGAATTTTATTTAAAGAAATTTGTGCATCACAATCTTATTGAAATAGTTGTATGAAAAATCTGAGAAGGAGCAAGATGTCCTCCAAACATTTAAGTCACACAATACCTTAGGAAAGATACTAAATGTTGTTCAATGGACAAAATTTTTAGGGACATTAGAAATTCTCTTTGGAACACAATAGCTTTTTGCTAACTTGGTCTTTTTTGTGTTTCAGTGTCATGTCCCTTCAGTGGCTGTCTATGCAGAACTAAAAAGAGCAAGTGTACCCAGATTTGGCATTGTTGTTGTCATAGCAATGGCAATTTGTACTACAGCCTATACCATTACGGCATCATTTGGCTACTTAACATTTGGCACATCAGTTAAAAGTGATGTTCTTTTAAGTTACCCTTCTAATGACATTTTGGTGAATATTGCAAGGGTAACAATATGCCTCATAGTTTTATCAACAGGGGCATTTGTTGTTTTTTGTGGAAGGTGAGATACTAAATTCCTAAGTTTATAGTAATTTCATAATTATTTAAAAATGATAATTAAAAAAAAATTTTCAGATGTTCTTATTTTTTGGATTAAAAGACATTCTGAAAAAGTTAAAACCTGAGAATTTTTTAATGCATCATGGTAATAGAGATACCTTATTTCCTTGATTAACCCTTTAACTCCCAGGAGTGATTAACATAAAACTTCTCCCTACAATATCCATACGTTCTTCGGCAAACAGGTCATGAGAATATTCAAACTTATCAGGTAGAAGCTGCTATCTTGATCTCGCACCAAGTTCTCATAGCTAATTTATAAGGAAATGTGCAGCAGCCACAGGGGAGAATTAACAATGGGAGTTAAAGGGTTAAGTGCCCAAGCTCTAATAATCACCCTTCTTCAAATAAGCACCTACCTCCTAGATCATAATGTTAAACAAGGTTCCCTCTGGAGCAGGTGCCTCCCCCTCCCTCCTGTCAATAATGTCAAACAAGGTTTGCTTTAGAGTAAATACCTCCCTCTCCCTCTTGTTAATAATGTCAATCAAGGTAATAATGTCAATAATCTTGTCAATAATGTAAATCAAGAGTAAGTGCCTCCCCCTCCCCCTCTCTCCCTAACTTTCTTAAATAATAGAGATGCAAGGAAAACCTTTTTATAGTGCTACTTTATTTCTAGCAGTTTGAACTTCAACCACAGCAGAATCAGTACAGGAGAATGATAAGCGCCCCCTCAATTAAGCAGCCTTCTTCTGATAACTGCTCCTCCTTTTAGCCAAAATTTTAAGTAAGCCCCTAGGCACTTACTCAAAGAGGTATAGTATTTGTAAAGTACAGATTCAACAAAATTGATGTCAGTCAAATTTGTTACTTACAGGAGCTGTTTGGAGGGATTGTATTTGGCAGCCTTCAGAATGCCTCCAACTCTTGCTGAAATATATGAAAAACGGCGAAGAATCATACAAACATTAGTGTGGTTTGGGTCAGCCCTTATTATTGCTGTTTATGTGAAAGACATACAATATGCAATTGCACTTATTGGGGGACTGGCTGCACTGTTCATTTTCTTTTACCCAGGTAAGCAAACCCTCATAAGTTGCAATGATTTGGTCACCATGGTGTCCTACAACATTTTGACGACTAAATTTGCAGGGCATGGCCAATCTGGCAATCTGTGCTCAACAGTTTTGTTGCAATGTCAGGACATGAAATTAATTTTTTTCTTCTGAGAGCCTCTCAGCTCCTGAATTTTCCAAAGTGGTGGCCAATTCAAAAGCTGTTGGTCGCCATTTTTAAAGACAAACTAAACCTTTTTTTACGCTGTCAGCGTTCTTGATAGACCCTCTGATATTAAGCTAGGAAAAAGATCTTTAACGTGCAACAAAGTGGAAACTAGGTTGGATGATATACAACATTCAAGCTCACCTAAATCCAAGATGGTGTCTAGTTATCAATCGAGATGCATGTGCTGCGTTTTTGAAACAAACTTAACGAGGAAGTTTGCCACAGATTCATCTCTGCAAATCTTTTTAATTCACTGTATCTCTAGGTACTTAGGTTATGATGAAGCATTCTAGTTGCCAATTTGGTGACTAATTTTCAGGATTTAGTCACCAAAGTAAAAAATTGAGTCACATTGGCACCTGTATTAAGCACAATTTTACACCCTGAATGTGTCTATTTTTGAGTAGCTGGTTGTAAGAAATTGCATGAATTTCTATAAAAAAATATGAGACATGCTGTTTACTTTAAAATTATTTATATGGTTTAGTTGTCATTGAATACTGCTGGAAGAATATATATATATATATATTTTTTTTTATTTTTTTTTTTTTTTTTTTTTTTTTTTTTTTTTTTTTTTGGTTGACCAGAATTGGATTTCTGGCTACTATTCCACATTTTGGTTTGCTAAGTGGCAACTATGGAAAAAGGCTCTTTCAGCCCTGATTTGTGTTAATTGTGCACTGAAAATATTGTCAGTTGAAACTTAGACTACTAGTTTGTATCTTTTGCAACAAATGGCATGTTCTACACCAAGTCACTTATCGTATCCCATCATGGCACTTAAAAGTGACCACTATTCCTTGGTTCGATGACCTCAAGTTCCTGCGTTTGTGAAAATGAGCCTGGTTTACAAATACTACATCACTTTTTATTTTTATTTTCAGGGATCTGTCTTGTTCAAGAGATGGTACAATATCCAGTTCTTACCATGAAAAGGAAATTATTGATTCTTCTGGGTCTCTGGTATGTGGTTGTTGGAGTGTTCTTGTTTGCAGACTCTGAAGTATTTGCCATAATGCAAGACATAAAAGGAGGAAGTTTGTATTGATCATTCTGTTTATAATGACAGACTCAGATGTCAGTTTCCCATGGCATTAAAACAGTAGTGCTGCAAACAATGAGAGGCGCAAATGTTGGACAAACCACTATGGTCTGCCATGTCAAAGACTCAAATCAAAATTGTCATCTAATTCTTTTTTTCAAAAATAATATTGTATATACTGTGAAACTCTGAAGTCTGTGAGCACTGAAAATGTTTATGGAATGTAATTGCATTTAGGAAAACAAGCCAATCAAATACAAGAAAATCTTGATTGTACATGATAGCATTAATATTTATTAATGTATTGTATGTAGTTTTGTTTGGATTACTTACATACCATCCTGTGATTGGTTGTAACTCATAAAACATTCCAGAGATATTTCAGGTATCATGGTATTCTGAATTTTATAGTTATGTTATAATTTAATACAAATGTATTTGTCACAATTGTGATCTGAATCAAATTGTATAACATGAGGTCCAATTACTAATAAAATTAGTATGAATTAAATTCAAGTCTCCAAAGTTACTACTGCCTATAGTAGTTTAAGTTAGATACTCACAAGAGGTAACTAGGAATAATCCATTGTTAATGTGCAAGAACCAAAACCCTAATCATAATTAAAGAATGCAGAGCCTAGGATGCCTTTGACAGATTTCTGCAGTGGTAGCATGAAAACTGGCGTTAAAAAAAGTATGGTAAACTTGTAAGCCTTTTTTTGTCACATAAGTCAAACACGACACGGAGGTCAACATGACAATCTGGTGTGTACCCTCTGTTTGACTCAGTCTGATTCCCCCTTTGAAAAATCCTGGTTATGCCCCTGTACAGGTTTAGAACAATCCAGTTCGCTAGTTTGTCATTTAGCAGGAATCAATTTGTGTTTGTTAATTAATTGTTATAACTGATATTTTGAAGAGTAAGAAGACCTTATGGATTACAATTTAGGCTATTATCATGGCATTGGTTCAAAATCTGCAACTGACAATCATCATAAACAAAAATCATCATAACGAGACATAAAGTAAAGCGTTATAGATCTCTGGAACAAAAGTCGTTCGAAGATTTGTCCGTTTTTATTTTTTTTCGGCTAAAATTTGTTAAGTCCACAATGGATCAACTGGCCAATGAATTAATTTGCCATCGAAGACGCCAGCCACTAGCTTTACGAAAGTCGCGTGATGTACTGCAGGAAACGAAATTTCTTTTTTTATGTGCCATCTATTTTTTGTCCTGCTGTACGAGGTCCAGACGGGTTGTCTAGTTGCCCCACCTATATCAAGTTAACGTGCTCCAGATAAAACATATATATAGACAGGAGGGTTACCCCACTTAGGCGGGTTACCTCACCCTCTGGGGGTGCCCCTACTCCATGTAAACAGGCCCAAAAAGAGCGAAAAAGTTAGCGTTGCGATAGTAGCGGCTGAGCAAAAACGAGAGAGGCTTGGGTCGGGGTGCGACCCCTCTTTTTACTCCCCTCCACTACCTTCAGGATCGTATGGGGTCATATGGGGGACAAAATTGGTATCCTTTGTTCGTGCCGTCGAGTCATTTGTTCGTGTCGTTGAGTCATACTTCTGCGAAAGTTCTCATTTCCTGTCCTCTAAACCTCCCTCGTCATGTTGCCGGATGAATTTTCTGATTCACGTGCTATCTTTGTGGCGTGTCTCATGTCGCTTCCTCCTAAAAATTCGAGTCGCGTCACATTTTGTGGCGTTGAAACATAATTCATGTCGTAACGGTCAGTGGTAACCACGTTTTTAATCGTCACGTGGTATATCGTCTCTTTCTTTAGAAAGGCGAGCGTGTTCGATGACGTTCTTGACCTCTTGGTAGAAGCAAACAGTTATCTGCATTTGAAAGATAGAAATAAACAAAGTGCTGAGTGTTCTTTAACTTTGCCATTAGTACATTCTGGCGAAGTAGGAAGACTTGCCTTCGAGGTACCACGAGGGAATTTGAAACTGTACTTATGCTACGGTTTTTCATTTTAAAAAAATGTCGCAATGTTGGGCACAAGCAGGAAAATAATCTGTAGACGAATTCAGCTTTTTAAGGAGGAACCAAGGTATACTTTTTTTTTTCTGAAGACTGTTCTGATGACCTTGTAAAGAAAACCTTGCAAAATTTTCCAAACTTCGGCATTCGCAGAATGAAAGGATTCTTTCTTGAGGCTCCTCACTGCTTGGAACGGACCCTGTTAGTGTTTTGTTATGAACAATCCAACTTAACACTGTCAATCGTCGACACTACTTTGTCCAGGGCCCATTAGCACCCAGGCAGTTGGATGGAAACCACAAATTAGTTGGGTGGGGGTTTGTCATCCGTGGCTGTGTTGATTGATCTTCTCGAAGAACAATGTTTTTAAAAGTGCAATAATAACAACAAGGAATGTACAGTTCTTGCATTGTTTTTGAAAGCTGTTTCAGGCATTGGTCTTCCTTCAAGGGTGAGGGGAGATCTGGCACTGAAACTGTTGATGTGGCATGGTTCATGTTCTCACACATCCACAGGGTGGACCAGGACGAGGAAGCTTTATAGCGGGAAAGAGCCGTCACAATCAGCAAGTAATAGAAAGGTTTTGGAGAGGCCTTTTCCATGGTTACACTTACCTGTTTCACCATCCGACGACATGACGAGGGGGTTTGGAAATGAGGACTATAGCTCTACCAAGTATGACTCGACGACACGAACGAATGGCTCGACGACGCGATCAAAGGATACCAGGACAGAAAACGAGAACTTTAACGTCACGAAGTATGACCCGACAACACGAACTAAGGATACCAATTTTGTCCCCGATTTGACTCCATAATATCGAGTCATTTGACATTGCTCTTCGTTTTACTATCTAAACGAGACTTAACGCATGGGACAGGTTCAGGCCTGGGACAGGTTAGTTTAGTCCCTCCTGCTGCTTTGTGGGGCTGTTTACGGATTGAGTTCTTATTGCTAAGTGTCAAATTTGGCATCGTTCCCAGTGTAAGCAATAACAAGAGGCATAGCATGTGGCTGCATGGGAAAGCCGACAGTGACAAATTGTTTTGGTCACGTTCTTATTATTTTCAGTTGCTCGGCTCGTTGCCAGGGAGTTTAGTGTATCTCGTGGCTTTTCCTTTGTATGGAAGCAAGATATGATGGTTACCTCCTTCCAGTCTTGAGTGAAAATAATAATGAGCAGTGACTCTCTCATGCGTTACTGGCAAATCGACAGAGGTTGAACATTAAAATTTTCCAGGGATAAAAGCTTTATTTATACTGGTCCTTGATGTAAATGCAAAACGGAAGTGTAAATATCATAGACATGAAGGTGAGTTGATGCCATTTTTCCCAGACGCTTAAAAGAGAAAATTGCCTACGTCAATGAAGAGCTCAAAGATATCGCCATCGAGGGCTTTGGACAGATACATTTTATTTATTCGCATTCTGTGGTACACGACTGGGAAACAGCTGTGCGTTGCTTCCACCAGATTGTCGAGTCTTTAAAGAACGCGCACGCGAACCATTACTTTGCCCTGTTGAACAGAACTTGCCTATAGAACGGGCGGTATTTCATCTATTTTTTTGTTAATTCTAGCATTTTTTTCCCGTTATTAGGTAAGGCGGGCGCGGCACAAGTCTACTCGACGAAAAACACAGCAAAGCAAACCACGCGTTGCAAGTCATGCGCAAGTCACGACCAAGTCTCAGGATCCAGCGATAAACTCCAGTAAATGTAATCAAAGAGTCTCGTCAAATGTCACGGTACCGAAGTCATAAATATCTGTTTGAACTTGAAGAGGCGCGAGATATAGATGTATCAATTGGTCTTTGTATTCTTTAACTACCTATGCGCGCTGATTTAGCCAAAATATCGCTTTCATTCACTCTGCGGATTTTTTTTTCCTGGTGGATCAAATAGAGGTAAATTTTTTTTTTTTGCCTTTACTTGAGAGCATATCTTAAAGCAGGCTTAAGTAAATTTCGTGATGTTTGTAAACTTTGATCCTAACCACGGGACACCGGTTTCATTGGAAATTCACGTGCAGATTTCTTTGGCATAAAAACCATTGTTGACAAATTCGTTATAGACAAAGTGAAAAACTCCGACGAAATCGAAGTATTCCCTTTTTTCATTGGAAGTCTTCAGAAATTTCGAGCTCCAGAGAACATGAACCACAGCCTTAATTTATTAGAAAAACAAGCCCTCTTAGAGAAGAACGGCGTGCCGAATGGTCATCATGAATGCACAGTCATTCACTACAATAGTAGTAGAGACAATGTAATCGGCAAGCCTGTCGCAAATGGTGATAGAGACACTATTTCTGCCTCTTGCACAGTTATCCAACGATCGGATGGATCGGGTCATTTCAGCAAGGGAATACCCATTTGGAGAGCAACTCTTCTGGTGGTAAATTCTGCCCTTGGTGCTGGAATTTTGAATTTTCCTCAAGCCTATGCACAAGCTGGAGGCATTTTCACCGCGCTGATTATTCATATGGTGCGTGTTATATTATATAGAAATGAAAACAACGCTGAGCAATTTCAACCACGATCGCAGCAATTGACCAAGATCAGTTATTGTGCTAAGTGCCCATGACTAGGATTTTTGCTGGTTGCTGTGACCGGTACTTAAAAATGCAATTTTTTTCTCCCCATTTTCACCAGAGCGTTCTATAACGATGCAATTTGAAGGAAGTCAGAGTAGGAAATAACAAACTGTAATTTTTTCTTCTTGTCAAACATTTTTTGATTGCGTCAACAATATTGGGCCAAAATAACGAAAGTTAAGGGGTTGGGAATCAACTTGACGTAGAATAACTCGGACTTAAAAAATTGAAATTCTCACTTCGGCTTATCATCCGAAATTTCATAAAAATAAACCTATTATACACCAAACAGGCAAGAAGATGACTGAACAGAATAATAAAATTTTCACTTGGTGACCCTAAAGGCCGGAACGGTGGAATGATGGAATGGCGGAAAATTACCCCAAATCCTAACCGACGGAACTATAAATATGGTATTTTCCCATGGGCGGGGGATAAGACCTGTAAACAAACCACTTGTACTATGTCAACCAGGCGACAGAAATACGCGGATTTTACAGAGCCATTTACATGGAACAAAACTCAACATCAGAAACAAGCTTTGAAGAGACACTCCAAGTCGCGATTACTCGTAAGGGGCTATCCGAATTATCTGTTTGAAAGAATCTTCATGGGGTTTGATTTCAATGGTAGGAAAACAGCACTCCAGGAGAAAAACAAAGTGTGACTTACCACATTGCGTTTTGTTTCACAATATAACCCATCAGCAATCAGCCTTAAAAAGATTTTATTGAGCAACTGACAAATTATTGGGAAGCATCCTAAGCCTCAGGAGATTTATAAAGGGCTTCCAATAGTTTCATGTAAAATGGGGAAATCATTTTTAAAAGGACATGCTCATTAGGGCAAAGGTCTAAAGGTCAGTTAAAAATAACCTAATCGTGAAAACAGCAAGAGTTCGCGTCGGCCTGTCAACCCACCCAACACCTCGACAAACACAGAAAATCACATCAAACAAACTGAACAGCCAACAACACAATGTTACACATTACGAGCAAAGATGATTTTTTGGGTATTGACTAAATTTCCACGGAAGTTGTGATCATGAGGGGAAAAAGGGTGAGGAAACATTTCATCTCACTCACATACACGACCAGAACCCCGCAGTGATGTAGCAAAGGAAAATACAGTATTGAGCGGGATGTGTGTGCTACCATTCCGTCTTCAAAGTGACTAGCATCTAATTTCTTGTTACAATATCACCACTGAATCATTCATTAATGTCATGAGAATACACTGAGGAAATGACTATCAACTAAAGAAACTCTTGATTGTTAGACAAATTCTCCTTGTCAGCACCGTAGTAAATGTACAGAGAACAGTATGGAGAATATGAAAACTGATGTCAGGGTGTGAAGTGTTACGGATTTAGGGTGATTCTCCGCCGTTCTGTCTCTCAGGACTT